GAAGTGCGTAGCGGCGTAGGCGCAGCGGCGTGCGTGCGTCACCGGGGACTCGAGCTGGGTGACACACACGCCTCGGTCTAATTGTGTCGCGATAAGTACACACACTCGCAGGCAGGCCGAGTCAGGCCGAAGGCACGCATCCCGAGACGCACATTAATTATTGGCTCGACACGGCACAGCGACGCGGCGGCGCGGCGGCGCGGAGCAAAAAGGGCAACAGGACGACGCGGGCCTCGACGCGGGCCTCGACGCGGCGTCGTGTCACCGTGTCGCAGTGCGCGCCTCGCCGCCAACCCCGCACGCGGAACGGCCTAACGGCCCGACGGCAGCCGACGGCGTGCATTTACAAGCAGGCAGCCTGTCACTCCGGGTTCCGCCCCAAAGTGTCGGCCTCCTGCACGCCTGGCCGTCCGCACCGCCCTGTCCGTCAGCCCCGTGTCCGTCCGGCCGCCTGTCCGTCTGGCCGTCTGCAGTCGGTCTCGTCGTCCTGTCTCTCTCGCACTCATGGGGCGTGTCGTTGGTTTTCGGTCGTCGACTGTAGGGACACAGACTGGCGGAATCGGTCCACTGACGGCGTCCTCACCCGGCGGAGGCGGGCCGCGCGCCTGCAGTGGGCCGGGTAGGCAACCCGGCGATCGGCTGTTCGTGACGGGCCGGCCTGCCTCCGTTTCGCAGGCGCTGAGACACCCGAAGCATCGGTATTTCATCGCTCTGTCTCTCTCGCACCCCCACGAGCCACCAGAGCGAGAAAGAGACGAAACGAATCAGCCTGCACGTGAGACGGAACACGCACCGCCCGGTCCCCCTTTTTCGGTTTAGTTTTAAATTTTAAATTAATCCGCCACTTCCCGCGTCGCGTCCCCTACCTCCCCTTCACACGCCGGTTACCTTGCCGTGCCGTGCCGTGCCGTGCCGTGCCGTGCCGCCGTCCTCGCCGGGCCGGGACCCTCCGCGAACCCCATCTGCTCGGGATCAGCCGCGCGGCTAACCCGATTGTCAGCGAGCGACTCAGAAATTAACGAAATCTCCCAGCGACCTAATTATCACAGGGCCCCGGTGACACCCTGACAGACGGGACGAGTCAGCTACTGCCGAAGTGCGTTCGTCATCTCACTGTTAAATTTAGGAAAATAGTGTAGGTGTGCCAGAAAAGTGGGCCACAACTTAACACGAATTTTATGAAAAACTCGTATTTGTAATGAAAATTCAGACTGTGGGAGACGGCGTACCTCTGGCTTGAAATTGAGTTCTAAATGCGCGACTCGCTTTAGAGCCTTCACTCAAAGGAGTGTGCATTGCCACACCACCATCGGACCAATTACGTCCACGCGCTGAGCTCACGCCACTCGCGGGGAAAGGTGTTGTTGCGGCCTGGATGAGGGAGGGAGAGGGAGAAGGAGACGGAGACGGAGAGAGAGAGAGAGAGAGAGAGAGAGAAGGAGACGGAGACGGAGAGAGAGAGAGAGAGAGAGAGAGAGAGAGAGAGAGAGAGAGAGAGAGAGAGAGAGAGAGTCAGTCCGCCTGCCTTTTGTCACTGCGAGCGATATTGCTTTGCTCTCGGAAGCCGATTCTGAAGTCTTTATCGCACCCTTGCGGGCCCCCCTTAAGTGCGAGAGGGACAGAGGCACCGTTCGGGACCGGCCTGCTGGAGCGGGCTGGGCGGGCCTCCTGGAATGCCCGGCCGAGCAGGGAGCCTTTCTCTGGAAGGCCGCCCGGCGTGCCGCCCGGCGCGCACGGGACTCATGCCATTCCAAAATAATATTCACTGCGCGGCCAACAGTCTCGTTTCGTTTCGTCTCCTTTCGCGGCCAAAAACAAACCGAGTCGTCACCGTCGCGGCCTCCCTCGCTCAAGAGACTCTGCATACACGCCTGCGGACACAAGGGACGCTGGGTGCTGCGTGCGTGGCCCAGTTTCACTGGCCGAGAGACCCAGTCCGGCGTCTCGCGTTGCCTCCGGGTTCGAATACCGACTGCCGCCGATTTTCCCCTTTTCCTTCCGCATCTCTCTCGCGGAGTTCTCCGCTCCTTTCTCGCTCTCTCCTCGTGTTCCGCGCCCCCGGCTGCCCCCCGGCACGCCGCCAGCACCGCCAGCCCTGCCCCCAGGCCCCAGGGTGCTCCCCGGGGCCGCTGATAATTGAACAACACATCCTGGGGGCCATCCGCCGCCATCCGCGGTCCCGGGGCGCCAGGCTTCTGAAGAGTCGTGTCGTCGCTCTGTCTCTGTCGCACTCATGGGGCCCTCCGTAAGGGTGCGAGAGAGACAGAGCGACGGACCGATTCTTCCGAATCGGCCGGCGGGCCAGGCGGCGTGGCTACTGGCCGGGCCAGGCATAGGGCCCCGCCGAGACGCTGGAAGCAAGGAGGTGTCCCTGGAGGCACCGGCCTAAAGGAAGGGCTCCACCGGGCCCCGAGCTCCCCGAGCTCCACGTCGGCACGGCGATGGCAGCGAACGGGACGCCCAGGGACCGGTACATTGGCTGGGCTTGTATATACGGCCTAAAAGTGAAGGGCGCCCCCGCGTTCGCTTGTGTGTGTGTGTGTGTGTGCGCGTGCGTGCGGGCCGGCACACCGTATCGGCACATGCATACCACTTGGCCATCCAGCCTGCCTGTTGCATAAGGAGGGCAGATGTGTACACCACTCGACGAAGGGTCCAAAGTCCGAGGGCGTCGCGACGGCGTGTGCTGTCGCCACCAGGCCGTCGAGACCGTCTCCAGCCCCGCGGCCTTTCCCTCCAGCTCCAGGGGCCATTTCGCGAAAGTGGCCGCCGCCGTGCCGCGGTGGAGGCTGGGGACTGGGGAGGGGGCTGCTCTCCAGACTTGATCTGGGACTTGTTGTCCAGCCGGCCCGGCCCGGCCCGGCCCCGCGGTGTAGGGTGTGTATGGATTATTGGGGTTTAGCAGGAAAATGAGAAGGTCCCCAGGGCGCGTTGGCACGGCCAGGCACGGCCAGGGTCGGGGCGGCTCCGGACGACTTGGGGCGAGTCAACACTAGTCCCTGTAGTAGTCTGGCCCACCGTCAGCCCTGCTCTGTTGTGGCCCGTTCGACATTGTTTTGTTTTTTTGCGTGAGTGTCACTTTCGTTCGACAGCCCATTAATACGGAAGTTCCCACTGAAAGAAAATGGTTCTGCAGTAACGAAGAACTCCTTGACTCCTTAATGACCCTGGTGGATTTTTTTTCATCTTGTGGGATGAATTTTTCAGATGGGATCACACGCGTTCGCGCTTCACGCCATCCTCTTCATCTCGCTTTTCCAAATGTTTCATCAGTGTGGGAGCGGGGGAATGCCGCGCTAGCCGCACACCCGATATCGGGCCCGATAATTACACACCTTTTAATTAAACCTTTACATGTACATATTTTTGTGGCAGTACATTTTATTTTGACTCCGGCAGTGCGACGACGACTCCAGCGCGCGTGAAAGCAACAGCAACGACACGCCGACATGACTCCAGCAGTATTTTTCGCTCCTCCGGTCGCCGCCGCTGACGCGTGCGGCTGCGGCACTGCGGCCCCCAAGCCTCTGGCAGTCTCTGGAGTGGGCGATAACTTTCAACAGCAGCCGGGAGTGTTTGGCGTTGGTAAAACCAGGGCCAAGTAATTAGCGGGCCACCGCGTCAAATCGCAGCGACCAGACACTCCAGACACCGACGGCGACGAAAGGAAGGACGGAGAGAGAAAGGCTCAGCACAGCAGCGCTCGGCTCGCACGGCGACGCGCGTCGGCGCACAAATTTTTCAAGAGCACAAAAGTTAAATGGAATTTCGGCTTCCTGACAGAACGTGATCGGGAACGATAAAGCTAGCGCGCTCATCCCACGGCGGCAATTACAGAGCCTCTTTTTTTGCGCTCTCTCTCTCTCTCTCTCTCTCTCTCTCTCTCTCTCTCTCTCTCTCTCTCTCTCTCTCCTCTCCCTCTCCCGACACAGAGAGGCTTTCCTGTCCAGCGCAGCAATCTCGGTCGCCTTTTTAGCTCTCGAACGTTTTGCCAGGGTAAATCACTTTGTTCACTTTGTGCTAATGAAGGATGACGTCACCGGATTAGACTCGAGCCGGATGCCCGGTGGGCCTTTTTGTCTTCGGAGGCGAGAACGTCTTTACACTGGCGACCGAGAGTCGTCTTCGTCGCTCCGTCTCTCTCGCACCTGTACGAAACGCCCCGGGAGTGCGGGAGAGACAGCGCGACGAAAACGACTCTCGGAATCAGTCCGCTGGACGGTGAGGGACACCGCGAGTCGCGGGGAGAACAACAACTCGACGGGGCGCCGCAGCATTGCGACAGCATAGCGGGGGTTTTTGTCCTTTCTTAATTTGCCGTCGTCTGACTTGCCCTTTGGGATACGAACGCCTCCTGGCGCGAGGCGTGGGCCGTCCTCGCCGTCGCGTCGCGGGGGCGCACAGCGCGCTCAGGCACAGTCAAGTTAGAGTTGTTGGAGCCGCAGCGACACTTGACCCGAGCGATCGCGCGTCCCCGTCGCGAGCCAGGCAAGGCCAGGCAAGGCCAGGCAAGGCCAGGCAAGGCCAACCAGGCGAGGGCGGTCTGCGGAGGGGACCGGGCAGAGGCCCGCCTCGCCCGCTTCGCTTTGCCAAACTTTGTTTATTATTTGGCGTTGGCAATACTGGTGCCTCATTGCCGTGCTCGGCTGCTCGCCTGCTCCGCGGGGCCGTGGGGGTTGGCTCCCCTGTTGTTGTACTCTCAGGTCGTGCTTCTCCGCCCTCGCTTTCGCTTTCGCCTCCTTTGTTGTGGTCCTCACGGTCCTCATGGTCCTCACGCGCGCCCCTCACCCCCCCCCCCCCCCCCCCTCGCGCCTCGCGCCTCGCCGCCACCCCTCCCCGTGCTCGGCGCTGTTCGCGGCGCCGCCGCCAGGGGGCAGCACCGCGCTGGGCTGCGAGGCCTCGGCAGCGCACTCATTCCGAGAGTCGTCGCTCTGTCTCTCTCGCACCCATCGCGCGTTCCCTGCAGGTGCGAGAGAGACAGAGCGACGAGGTGCGGAATCCAGCCCGCAGGCTTGCCAGCACCGGGGCACCGGGCTGGGCCAGGCCAGGCCCCGGGCCCGCTGGGCTGCGAGGCCAACAAGTGGTTCGCTCCACCAACTTATCATCGCCACTTTGGATTTGTGAAGCAGCAAGCCAGCAAGCCGCTCCCCGCGGTGGCTCCGAGGAAGGGTGACCGTCCACCCCGAGTGCTGCCAGCAGGCGGGTAAACCGCCGCGCTCCGAGGAACGGCGACGAAAAAAAAAAATAACTGGAGCGCAAACTTTTTAACGCTTTTGCAATGAGAAGTCTCGTCCTTTGCGCGCGGACTGGATGGAAGAGACACTGTGGCCACTGAGGGTGGGAGGTGGGCGATGACGCTAGAGGCGCAGCGCCGCCAAGGCGAAGCTCAGCACCGCCGCGGGGGCCAAGGACGCCAAGGCCGCGCGGCGACGCGGCGCGCCGCCCGACGCCAGCGAAGGCAACGACGGCAACCCCCTCTCCCTGATGACGTCCCTCAAGAAGAACAGCGAGTCCTTGGGCGTGCGGCGGAGCGACCCTGACGCGTGGTCCACGTGCACCACGCCGAACTTGAGCCTGGCCGAACACAACAACAACGAGGGGGTGCTTTAGTTTTCGTTGCCAGTGACGCAGCAGGTACCACACCACGGCACGCACTTGAAGCCGACGCCCCACTCCCAGCTGTCGAGCAGCGACCACGCGAAGTAGCCCTTCACGTCGTGCTTGTCCTCGTGCAGGGCGGCCAGGACCTCGCCGAGGTGCGCCTGCGGGGGAGGAGGGAACAGCGGGCTGCGTTTTACACACGCTTCACAGTGGGCCAGAAGAGCGACGGAGGCGGTTAAAATTCTAGACGCGTTTTGAGCTCCACAGTCGCTGAATGGGACTCGAAGCGAAAGTGTGACTCTCCGAACGAGGAATCCGTTGATGGGGTCACACGCTCGATTCGAGCCCTGATTGGCGACTAGAGTTTTGGCCGCCGGCGCCGCTCTTCTGGCCCACAGCGACGATGGGGCAACTCTGTTGTCAGTGTGGGGAGTACGGACGTGCAAGAAGGCCACCCTGGTGGCGTCGTGGAGGCCCTCCGCGCCGTCGTCGCCGAAGCCGTTCTCGGTGATGATGATGCTCAGGTTGCCGTACCTGCTCCGCAGCCAGTCCAGGGTGGCCCGCATGGACCACGGCGTGCTCTGACCAAAACCACCCAAATTAAAATCAACTTTCTGAAAAAAAAAATGTGTGGGTTTCGAACCCGCGAGGGACTCACCCGGAAGGGCCCGGGCGGCAGGAACTGGTCGTGGGTGCCCTTGATGGTGAAGGCGGCGTCGCGCTCCACGGAGGGCTTGCCGGCGCCGTCGGGCACGCCGTCGCAGGCCTCCCAGCCGAAGTACAGGTTCAGGCCGAGGAAGTCCAGCGCGCCTGCGTCCGTTCCATCCCATTCAAACGCAAGTAACTTTAAAATTTTGGTTTTTGTTTTTTAAAGCGCGCACCTTTCAGTACTTTCCGCTCCGTGGCGGTGAAGGTCGGCAGCCTGGACGCCGCGAGGCCCTCCCGCGCGCTCTGGGCGTCCACCTTGCGCCGCATGGCCTCGGGGTAGTCGCCGGTCGGCGACAGCAGCGGCTCCAGGAACCAGCCCAGCTCGAACTGCTGGTGCGCGTCCGCGGCGGCACGGTCCGCGGCCGACCCGCTGCACGGCCGCGTGAAGAAGTTCTGCAGCGTGATGCCCACCGACCCTGGACACACAGTGCACCAGGCGGCACAACGTGACTACCACTGCCGCCGCCACAGTTGGCCTCGTGCCCATCGACTTCCCCGAATCCTTCACATTCTCAATGACAAAGTCAAAGAAAATGCATGAGAAAAAAAGTCCCGAAAAGACAGATTTGAACCCGCGATCCTGCCACTGGGAGTCCACCTCTTAACCCATGCGGCCACGGCGTCTGGGTACTGACCGTGGTGGTAGGCGAAGTGGTTCTTGTAGGCGCGGTAGGCCCTGGCGTGCGCCAGCAGCATGTGGTGGCCGCAGACGTACTCGCCGTGGCCCGGCCAGGTCTTGACGGCGCCCAGGCGGCCGTGGCCCACGCCGTACAAGCAGTACATGAAGGGCTCGTTGAGGGTGACCCAGTACCGCACCTGCAGTGGGGTGACAAGGCGCGTCAAGCGACCAGCACACAGTGGGCCAGCAGGCCGGCCAAAACTCTAGACGCGTTTTGAGCTCCAGAGTCGCTAAACAGGACTCGAACCGAGCGTGTGACCCCACCAATGGATTCCTCGTTCCGAGGGCAATCCATTGGTGGGGTCACACGCTCGATTCGAGCCCCGCACAGAAGCACTCGCCGGAAAACGTACCGGCCGCCGAACAGCCGGAATGCGGTGACGGCGTACGCCACGAAGTAGTCCACCATCTGGGGGCTGAGCCAGCCCTCGAACTTGTCGTCCAGCGCGGCGGGGACGTCCATGTGGTACAGCGTCACCTACAAGCAGTACGCCAAAAAAAAAACCTTACGCAACGGAAAACGAAATTGGCGCGCAAATTTTCTCAGTATTGACCTATCGGCTTTGATTCGGGCTATCTCCCTCCCCTCCCCCCATCCACTGCTTTAAGTGAGGTGCACGAGGAGTAACTAACAACTCTTCAACTCGGAGCTCCGCTTGCTGGCTCCGGGCCGGGCCGGCTCCGGGCCTGACTTCGGGCCCGGCTCCAGCGGCTCCAGTCGGCAGCTGGTGGCGAGAGAGGCACGCGCAAAGTTGTCAGGACTTTGAAGCTCCCACCCCCTACTTAACCATCCACTCCGGCGTCCCCCCGGCCCCTCCGCCCCTCCCGCCACCTTTTCAACATCCTCTCCAGCCCCAGTTCGTGCATTCCTTTATGCATCAAGGACCCGAAAGGCCGTACGCTACGCCGCTACGCCGGTGCGTAACGCCGAATGCCAGATTCGCGCGTCTGTTCCCCGTTCCCGGGGGCTGGAGGCTGGAGGGACTGGAGGACTGGGGGACTGGAGCGAGAAACTCGGCCGGAGCTCTCGCCGTAATTATCACGAAAAAAAATGTAGGCCACGCGGAAGGAAAATGGCGGGCTGCAGGCTGATTCCGAAAGCGACCCCGTCGTCGCCTCTCGCTCGCTCCCATTCAGCGGCCCACAGGGCGCCGCACCACTACACGCACGTACCACGGGCTCGATGCCGCTGGCCTCCAGCTCGTCCAGCAAGTCGTTGTAGTAGTCCACGCCGGCCTGGTTCACGTTGTCCGACTCACCGGTCGGCAGCAGGCGCGCCCATGCCAGCGAGAAGCGGTAGTGGGTAGCCTGCGCAGGGGGAGAGAGAGAATGGGTCGCCGAACCGAGCGCCCGAGCCGAGCGCCTGCGAATGTCGGTAGGCAACCCCGCGACACGCGCGCTGGCCGGGTTGCCTACCCGACGTTCCGCGGGCGCTCGGTGGACTGGCAACTTTTTCTTTTTTTATTGAAAACAGAAAAGGCAACGCTGCGTCGCCGCCTGTGCTCCCTCCTCACCCCCATTAGCTTGAGCATCTCGATGTCCTCCCGGAAGCGGTGGTACGAGTCGCAGGCCACATTGCCGCCACCGTCCGTCCTGCGGCTGTAGGCGCGGTCCAGGTTGCTGAGCCCCTTGCCTGCCAAGGTCATCGGCAAGGTCATCGGCAAGGTCATCGACATGGTCATGCCGCGCTCTAGCCACTCACCACTGACGTTCCAAGCCCCCTCGATCTGGTAGGCCGAGGACCCGGCCCCGAGCAAGAAGCCCTCCGGGAACTTCCACTCGCTGGAGAGACCCGCGGCCCGCCCCGTCACCGCGACGACCGCCACGGCCACCATGGCCGTCACCGGGAACATGCTGCCAACCAGCTTCGCGGCCCGAGGAAAGAGAAAAAAACGCCTCCAGCATTTATTTGTGTTTTCAAAATGAAAAAAAGATAGAATAAAAAGTTTACTGGTCAGTCATAATTCTGCGAACATCAACCTGTCCGAGCTGTTTGTGTTTTTTTGCCCGAGCCAAACTGAAAAGCGGGAAAAAGTCCTCTTTGACAGGAGGCCGTCGGTCCAATTTTTATGCGCCGTGAAATTTTCTCTGGAGCGGAAGAGAGAGGGGGAGGGGATGGGGAGTGCGAGAGGCAACTCACCTAGGCTGCTGGCTGGGACGTGGACTGGACGTGGACTGCGGGGCTCGGCGAACGCCTGCGGCCGTGCCTCCGCGCCCCCAGAGTACAGCAGCACCTGTCTGACGGACGGGCCTGGCCGGGCCGGGCAGGCCGACGGCATGCCGACGGCCGAGCCCTGCAGGCCCGATCCTTGATCCCCTTCCCCTTTCCCCGCCCTGATCCCTACTAGGATCGGCAACAGGCATCCCCTCCGCACCTTGCCCGCCGTGCCGACAAACAGGGCGCGTGGTCAGTAGCTGTCGAGGCTGGGCCAGGCAGGGCGTTCACGTCGCCCGCGGCGGCGTCCGAGACCTCGAGCACGCCGTCGAGGCCGCCGCCGCCGGGGTGGAGGCTTTGGACGCCCCCCTTCGTAGAAGCACGGACCGATTCCGAGATTCGTCGCTCTGTCTCTCTCGCACTCGTGGGGCGTCTCGTAAAGGTGCGAGAGAGACAGAGCGACGAATCTCGGAACCGGTGTGCCGGCCCGGCATGGACTTCCTCTTCCTTGACAGGAGGCGATGACGTGTGGGCCGCGCCGCAGCACCGCAGCGGCCAAGCGACTCCGAGGAGCCGTTTCGTCTCTCTCGCGCCGCCACGGAACGCCCCGTGAGTGGGACAGAGACAGGGCGATGAAACAGCGACTCCGGAACCAGCGGCACGCTTCGCGCGGCTCCCCGCGATGAAGGCCAGGAGGCTTTCTGCCCCGGCCCGCTTCTACACCGCAATTTATCCTCCAATTCTGCTGAAAATATCCGACAGTGCCGGGGCAGAATTTGGGTGCAAGCGCAAACTGCATCGGGAGGTCCGGCCCTGCCCTGCCGCTGCCGCGCAGTGGTTTGAACCTTGGCGCCTTTTCTTGACATATCGATGGTGACATCGAGATCTCGGAGCGATCGTCGTCTGTTCGCGCAGTGCTGTCTGCTGTCTGTTTGTCATTGTTTTGGTTGAGATGGCAAGGACGACATAACCACAACGAGTGTCCCTCGTTTTCATGTAATTTGTCTTCCCTGGGACTCCGTGCCTTTTGACAATGGAGGAGACGAGTGACTTGACAGCTGAGAGCTTGCTGGGCGTGGCGAAGTATGTCATGGAGATGCTCAGCCCCAGCCACAAACTGGTGATTCGCAATCTGGAAGAAGTTCAGACCGCCTTCAGACACGATTTTAGAAGCAAACGGACCCGGTTAAAAACCGTGGCAGTGCCGCAGGAAGTCATACAGAGTCTGGTGACTTCCTCGTCGCCCAGTGACAGCGTAGCTGACCATGAGATGTGTGTTGTTGTTGGTCTCCGAGCTGCGGTCAAGCTGGGTGTCCCTGTTGGAGGGGCCTGTTTGGGCTTTGTCTCAAAGTGCTCCTGTCCCCTGCTCTCAGAGAAGGAGTGTGGACCATCATGTCAGACGGCAAGACAAACCCCCAAGGTGTACGCAGTCCAAATCATGTCCAATCGTAGAGTGCCTCCGTACCAAATGTTGGTCAATGAAACTGTGCATCATAATGTGATAACGTCTCTGTATGGTTCCTCCCACCGCACTGAGAAAAGCATAGTTTTAAATGTGAGGCGGTGTGATAAAGTTATTGGAGAAGGGCGAGTGGGTCTGAAGTATGCTTCCCATGCCGCAGTCTCATGGATTCAGCAGCCTCAAGTTGCCGATGACAGCATTATCTCTGCATGTCTCAGTGGCTTCTTCGAAGTTCCTCGTCATTTACACAAGGGTGATGTGTTTAGGATAAAATTATCGGAACATGCCCCAGAGGTGTTGCTGGCACCAGGAAAGTTTGGCTTGAAAGATTTTTATTTTGTGATTTTAAGTATTGATGGACCAAGATACAGAGGTATTCAAAAGGCGGAAGATAGCATTGGCTACCTTGTTGCCAAGGGAGAGACAACACTAGTTCAAGATGTCAATAAGAACAGCTTTCTTCCCTGTTGTACATTATCTAGCAAAAGCACTCTAACATACTTCTTGCAAAAACATCCTGTAGGACTGAAAAATGTTTATAACAAACTGACAAATGCTCTTACTCCTTTTCTCAAAGGTGCCTCCCCTGGTAAGCTAATATTACAGTTGCTAAAAAGAGAACAGTATTAATATTAAATATGAAATGGTTTCAATACATTTTTCTTCGCATGTTTCCAGGTTTGAAACCAGCTTTCTTGATGACTGGCCCAGCAGGCTGTGGAAAACGTAGTATTGTGTCCAGTGCAGCTGCCCAATTTGGAATGAATTTTTGGGCAGTTGACTGTGCAGAAATTAAAGGGGGTACCTCAGGACAAACTGTTGGTAAATTACGTGCAGTGCTTGCCAAAGCAAAACAGTATGCTCCTTGTATTGTACTGATGTCCAATATTCAAGTAAGTAAATTCAGCACACAACATTTTTCGGTGCAGTAGTAACTCTCGGTGACATTTATAATTTTTTGTGCCTTTCTCTTTTTAGATTCTTTCTCATGATCAAGATGGACGAAACGATTCTCGCGTTCTTGACGAGTTCCAAGATCAGTTGGCCGTGTTGAAATCATCCAAATTGCCAATAGTGCTGGTTGCAACTGCTGCATCCTCAACAGATCTCACCTCTGCCTTTGCTCGAACATTTCTATTAGAGATCCCTGTCATTTCCATGGAGAAAGAGGAGAGAAAAATTCAGTTGAAACAGTTGATTGCGGAGCATTGTGCTTCTGCCAGTGAAGAATGTCTTGAAGATATTGCATCTCGCTGCTCAGGATTTCTGCTTGGAGATCTAAATGAGCTTGTGTCCCTGGCAATAAGGTTAGGAAGAATTAAATTAAATACAAGATCTATTTTATACCTAAATACTGTTTAACCGTTTGTTTGAACCATCAGGAACAATTTGTGTGGAAAACAACAGTTGGAGCAAACTGTGAGTGAAAGTCCATGCTTGAATTTGACTGCAAGTAACTTTGGTGATGCACTAGGTAAGCATTGAAATTAATAAAATATAAGTAATGCTATTTGATCATAGAGTAAGCAACCATCCTCTAAAATAAATTTTTAAATTTTGTAGAAAAAATGCAGAGTGCTTATGCTGGTTCCATTGGAGCTCCAAAAATCCCCTCCGTGAAGTGGAATGATGTGGGTGGCCTTGAAAGTGTCAAAAAAGAAATTCTTCAAACTGTCACCCTACCCCTGAAATACCCAGAACTGACTGCTGGAGGTCTTGGGCGCTCAGGTCTGGAATATATGTCTACACTTGCGCTGATAATCTGCAAACTTTACTAGAATTGTTTATCATTATTTAAATTTTTACAGGAATTTTGCTTTATGGCCCTCCTGGGACAGGGAAAACTTTATTGGCCAAGGCTGTGGCTACAGAGTGTAATTTGAACTTCCTCTCTGTGAAAGGTCCTGAGCTATTAAATATGTACGTTGGCCAAAGTGAAGCTAATGTAAGAGAAAGTAAGTAATCCAACTGATAAAGTATACTTTAATTTCAAATCAACTTCATAGTGCTAAAGACTCACAAAATCTTATTTTTAATTTTGTGTTATCAGTATTTGAAAGAGCTCGAGGAGCATCACCATGCATCATATTTTTTGATGAGCTGGATGCTCTGGCGCCAAATAGGGGTCGCAGTGGGGATTCTGGTGGTGTTATGGACAGGTATGCATAGTGAACAGTGAGTCGCACGGACATCATTCAAGAAAAGATTTCGGTAACATTTTCATCGTTCCTTTTTCAGAGTTGTGTCTCAATTACTGTCTGAAATGGATGGACTCAACAAATCAAGCCTATTATTTGTGATTGGTGCTACAAATAGGCCAGATCTGATAGATCCGGCCCTCCTACGACCTGGAAGGTTGGCAAAGACTGAAGTTAAAACTTTTTAGGGCTAATTTTCCTTTGCCATTTCCGTACATAATTTAATTCAATTGCTCTGTCATGTCACAGGTTTGATAAGCTGCTGTATGTAGGGGCATATGAAGATTCAAGCTCCAAATTGAGTGTTTTGAATGCACTCACAAGGAAGTGAGTGAACTGCATGGAACAATCGCTGATCTTTGTTATGTTGGTCCAGAAGTTGTAAAAATTATCTCTTGTCTCAGGTTCAAGCTTACTTCGGATGTGAACTTGGAAGAAATATCCAAAAAGCTACCACATGAAGTAACTGGAGCTGACATGTATGCTGTGTGCTCTGGTGCCTGGCTGGGGGCCGTTAGGCGTATCATCAAACAAAATGAGGAGAGGAAAACACAACCTTCGACTGAGGTGGAGGTTAACCAGGAAGATTTCATCCAAGCAGTTTCAAACATGGTGCCATCTGTCAGTTCAGAGGATATGCTTTACTTCAAAGGCCTTCGGGAACAAATGTCTGCAGTTCCTGCTAAATAAATTTAAATTTGTTCAAGTTTAGAAAAAATTGTAGCAGAGGAGCTAAAATTGGTGGGAAAATCTGGGATGGGTTGTCTCTTAATGTGGTGTAATGAAGGTATGGGCGGGCACACTTGCTTTAAAATGATTTTGGGTAGGGTATACGTGGTTTAAACTGTAGGTAAATGGCCATTGCAACCATGATTACAGAAATCTGTTCCCAGCCACTCTGACAATGATTTTTGTCTATTTGTCACCTGTGATAACAACTACCCTGTACAAAACAAATGTGTTTTTGATAATTAATTTTACTTTGACTGTCATGCACCTGTGATGTGATTTTTTTTAAGAATATTTTTCCATTTTTTGTACCAATTGTTATGCTTGAAATATATAGTATTTTGAAAGAGCAGCCTGGAGGAATACATCCAGAAGTTTCTCTTTAAAAGTACAAATGTTACCAAAATCTGTGAAAAATATTTTTTACTGCATCCTACTTTATCTGGATTTTAAGGATTTCAAATCATGACATAATACTTAACAGACTTCCACTTTAATTCAACAGCAAATTTAAAATTATTATAACATTAATAATTGTCATAAAATATCTGTCAATCTGGAATGGGGCGTGAGACAACTCTGCATAATACATGATAGAGTAGATCTACGTCAATTTGTTTTCAGCTTATATATTCTGCATACCCCTCTTACCAGAAACATCATTCAATTCGTACAATGGCATGTATAAGAAATTCATTATGGCACTCATAAAATAGAGTCGAAATCAACACATCTTTATACTTGTTATGGCATTACAAATACATACTCAATGATCCAAGAATGATGAAATGATCGAACTTCACCCACATTACTTAGAAGTCATATTCAAGTATATGGCAAACCTGTAAAAATTGTCATCAGTCGCAGGTATACATTGTGAACAATGAAACCAAATTGAGGCCTTGTCACTTAAAATTGGAAACCAAATAAATGTCATAGATCATGACCCTTTCTCACATCACTTCCTAATTACATGAAATAAATAAATAACACTGCACAGGGAAACAGTAAAAACAAGACAATGTACATTCACAACAATGTACAGCGTTAATTAAAAATATACAAGTTTGGCAAAGTAAACCAAATCTTCCCCGTGTGGAAAGGTTTCAAAAATACACACACTTTAGGAAGAGACGGCTTAAAAATATATCTCTGGGTCTGTCTCGGTCTCAAAAGAAACCCGGGTTGGTGTGTTCGATGATACACCGCTTGCAGTACTTCTTGACGGCCCGGTAGCCCTCCAGCGAGATCTGGCAGTCCTGGATGTTGAGCTGCTGCAGGCCGCGGCAGTAGTAGGCGATACACTGGATGCCGCGGTCCGTCACCAGCTCGCACGCGCGCACGCTCAGCTTCTTGAGGTTCGGGCAGCTCTCGGCGAGCGCCCGGAGCCCCGAGTCGCTCACGTCGCACTTGCCGATGTCCAGGGCGCGGAGGCGCGGGCAGGACCGCGCCAGCACCGTGATGGCGTCGTCGCTCACGGCCTCGCAGCCGCGGGCGTTCAGGTACCTGCACAGGAAGCGGCAGGTGTGGGTTCGAATACCGGCAGGGGTCGTCCTTTTTCGCCGTTTATCGCCGCCGTCCGGAGCGAGGGTAGGCAACGCCGTCGCCAGGGCAGTGCAGCGGGCTGCCTACCCTCGCTCGACAGGCGCTCCGCCTCCTTGCACGCGTGGGGCTTCTCCCTTCGTCCTCCCCTTACCTCAGTTTGTAGCACCGCCGGCTGAGGACCTTGAGGCCCGCGTCCGACACCTGATCGCACTTGGCGACGGACAGGTACCGCAGCGTGGCCCCCAGCTTGGCCAGCTCGTACAGGCCGAAGTCCGTCACCTGGCTGCAGTCCGACACGCTCAGCTCGCGCAGCTGGGAGCAGAAGCTGGGCACGAACTTGATGCCGGCGTCTGGAATGGGAGCGAGAACAGGGGCGCGTTAGTTTGGGGCTTCCCGGACACGGGTGTGGCGACGCCAGGCGACGCGCTGCAGCGCCCTAGGCTCACCTGTGATGTGCACGCAGCGGCGCAGGTAGAGGTACACGAGCTGCGGGCAGTTGCGTACGATGATGCGCAGGCCGGCGTCCTCCACGGCGTCGCAGTCCGTCAGGTCCAGGTACTGCAGCAGCAGGCGGCGCGGCGGCTCGGGCCCCGGCGTCACGGTGAGCGTGGACACGTTGGAGCAGCCGGTGAGGTCGAGGCGGTGCAGGCTGGTGCACCGGGCCGCGATCTCCGCCAGCGCGGCGTCGCCCAGCTGCGGGCAGTTGTGCAGCTGCAGGTGCTGCAGGCCGGGGCAGCGCCTCGCCAGCTGCGTGAGGCCGCGGTCCGTGAGGGTGGCGCCGTCGGACACCTGCAGGCGCTGGATGGTGGCGCCGCAGCCGCCCAGGCGCCGCAGGATGCCCCGGACGGCGCGGTCGCCGCTCACGCCGGGGCCGCGCAGCCGCACGGAGCGCCACAGCGTCGGCTCCCACGCCAGCGAGCTCCAGCGCCGGCACACGCGGGCGCAGCGGCCCAGCGTCAGGCTGTCCAGCCACGAGAACACCTGCAACAAAGAGCCGAAGGGTTAGCGCGGCGCCGAGCGGCCTAGCGGTAGCGTCGAGTCCGCCCGGGGCTACCGAGGCGGAGGTCGCGGGATCGACTCCGTACCTGCAGCACGACGTCGTCCTGCAGGCTGTCGAAGGCGGGCGTGGTGCTGGACGGCGTGGCGGAGCGCACCGCGATCTGCGTCGACGGCGTGCCCCGGGGCAGTCCGTTGTTGGCGTTGCCGGCGATGCCTGCGTTGCGGTCCCACGGCAGGTCGGGCCAGGGCTGCGGCGGCTGCGGCTCGGGCCAGCCTTCGCCGTGCCGCCACGGACTGCACGGACTGCACGGACTGCACCACCCCAGCGTGTGGTAGCCTTGGTCCACGCACGGCGACGCGCGCCCCGTCACCAGCCGGGGGAAGCCTGGGGAGCAAGGTCAAGGGTTCAAGCCTCGTCTGTCTCGCCATTTTAGCGTGGTGGTGGCGTCGTCGCTTACCTGGTGACGGGAAGGCGGCGGGCGGCCGGTACTTGTAGCAGCTGCTCTGCGGCGGGGCTCCCGGCGCCCCGACGGGGGACGGTCGTCCCGGGGTCGGCCGGGGGCTGCGCAGCTGTGACCGCGACTCCCGGCCCCGCGACCCCAGTGACTCCCGGCCGAGGGAGCCAAGCGACTCCCGGCCGAGGGAGCCAAGCGACTCCCGGCCGAGCGATCCCAGCGACTCCCGGCCCAGCGATCCAAGGGACTCCCGGCCGAGGGAGCCAAGCGACTCCCGGCCCAGCGACCCCAGTGACTCCCGGCCGAGAGAGCCAAGCGATTCCCGGCCCAGCGACCCCAGCGACTCCCGCTTGAGTGAGTCCCGGGCCAGCTTCTTGGGCGGGCAGGGCCGAGGCGCGGGCCGCGGCGGGGCCACATGGTGAGTCATTCCACCTGCAACAAAAGGCAAAGGCTCGGTCAGACTCCACGCAACAGGAATTGAAGAACGTCAACTATTCTCCAGTCATTTTTCGCTGTCCTGGAGGCTCCAGGGCGCAGGGCGCGCAGGGCGCGCAGGCTGGAGGCACGCGTGGAATGCGAGGCGGGGCCGGCGGCCTGGCGGGGCCGGCCGCATGGGAGTCGACATGATACACGTCGCGTCTCCTCGTCGCGTCGCGTCACTACCGGTTTGCTCCACTCCAGGATGACGGTTCCCGTTCGGACTTCCTCCCTCGGGAGGGCTGCGGGGTTGCCTACCGCCAGGCAGGCGGGCAACGCGCGGCCGCGGGCAAGAGCTTGCGGGGCGAGGCACTCGCTACTCGCCCCCGGCGATGCTTCGATTTGGATTCGGCCGCCCCAGCCGCCCGAGCAGGTCTCCATTGTGTACGAGGCCTGGCGTGCTGGACCAGGCTGGGCACGCCCTGGACGCCGTCCTGGCCCTGGCGCGGCCTCCGCCCGGATCCTCGGGGAAGCCTCGTGTCCCCGGGATACGTCCCGGATCTCTCCCCCGGCCGGCCCAAAGTACCCGGCCGGCGTTTATAGCCCGGCGCGCCGCGCTGCGCCCGCTGTGCCGAGCCGGTTGCACGCCGTGCAGGCCGCCGCGCCGTCGGCAGCCGTGGGGGACTTGTTGGACTCGCGGGGCTGCTTCGGGACTTTGTCGGGCCCCAATGGCCTGGCAGTGCCTGGCACCGGTGCACCACACTGTAGCGCGGCGACGCGGCGTCGCGGTCTACGGGTGTACACACTTGGTGCGCGGCCATGGCAGTCATGGCGGGGGGACGGCGGACAACTTCACAAATCAACCGGCACTTGAAGAAACGGCCCCGGCAGGGCGGACCGCGGCACCGCGGGACTGGATATGACTGGGCGGCGCGGCGGCATGGCGGCGGCGCGGCGGGGACACTGTAGGGCATTGCCTGAGCAGCCCGAGCACGGCGGTGCGGCACTGTAGAGAAGGACGCGGAGACCAGCCAATCAAAGGAGACTCCGACCGGAACCGAGGGACAGCGAGATCGTGACCGAAAGGGAGTCGCTCCGGGGAAAACGAGGCACTTGGCAAATTGAAGGTCTCATCTCCCTCGGAGAAAAAGAAAGTGTTGTACACAGAAAAGCTGTCCTTTTAAATTATTTTCGATATCGTTCCTGTTGTTTATTTCTGTATAGTGTCGTGAGTGTCCGAGTGAGAATGTGTGCGTGTCTGTGTGTGAGTGAGTGTGCCCGCCGGGGCTCGCGCCACGCCCAAAATAAAAACATGATTGTGTAATTTTTTAACTGTCTGGGTCAGAAGGAAAGGAAGGGTGTATCAAGGAGTCGAGATCACGACAAACAGGATAAGCCAAGCCCGAGGGGGGAGGGAGGGGCGGGGGGCCACCACACTGTACGGCACCGCGGGGGGGAGGGGGAGGGGATCCCGCAGGGACTCCAGGACTCCAGCGGGGCGGCGGCTGTCACTTATCTTCCAGCTTGGCGCAGACGGCGCGGACGGGGACGGGGCCCGGCGAGCAGGGTCGGGGAAGGCCAGCCGGTGACTTCAATTTTTGAATTTATGCATTATTAAACACGCCCCAGACACACACACGGGCGCACACTCAGACACACCACAAGGTTGCGTGAGCTGACATTCCTCCTCTTCGTGGTGTATCGGAATGCCGATAATGCCTCGACACGAATTCCGGCCGTTGTCTCGCTGGCTGTGGCTGGCTGTGGCGTACCGGCGCACCGTCGCCGGCCTAAACGATTCCCTTAAGGTAATTAAGCCCTTGAGGCACTGCCTGATGTGCGCCAGGCATGTGACAGTGGCCCTGCAGTGGCCCTGGACCGGACGGACAGGCGCTGTGTGTGTGTGTGTCTGTGTACGTACCCGGCGGCAAAGTCTCAGAATAAAAAAAAAAAACAACAACGAATAATAATCAACATCTGGCGCACGCTCGAACTTGAATGCAAATTGCATCGCAGCAGATCACACACACACAAAAATAAAAGAACGAAAAGGGGGAAAAAAATCGAATCAGCGAATCATTAAAGTGTGTGACGGCCATTCGGACGCATGCTGAAGAGCAAACCAATCGGCGGGGTTGTTTTGTTGCTATTAATTTGGCTTGTTGGCAGTGTCCCGATCTGCGTGCACGGCCATGGCGCGACCGCGAGTCCGCGTTCGAGTTGGAGTTGGCGTTTGCGCGGACTTGCCACCTTTCTCCGCGTGGCATGCAGCAGCGTGCTCCCCGCGCTCGCTTTGCTTCTCACAGTGTAGGGGCTAACGCAGGCCTCGCAGGCCGCGCAGGCCGGAGCGCTGGAGCGGCTGGCTGGAGACCCGGAGAGAGAGACTCGCTGGAAGCACGCTGGAAGGCTAGCCGCAGCCTACCGCAGCCCGGCAGCCAGCCGAGTCCGGGCGGGGCGGGGCGGGGCGGGGCGGGGCGGTGCGCGAGGCTGAGTCGAGTCGTGCTCCTCGCCCCCATTCCGATCGCAGGCTCACTTTCTAGGCCCCGGCAAATCTCAGCCGCTCAGCCTCGGCGAGCACTGCGTCAACACAGCCGCCGGCCGCCGGCCCATTGGCGGCATGCTGCAGCACTGCAAGCACTGCACACTGCGGGCATGTCAGACATGTGCACCGCAGCTGGTGCCGCCGCGCCACCAAGGTGGCTGCGAAGCTGCTCACCTGTTGCTTGTGCGGCGTCACGGCCTTCGCGGCCTCGGCCGGGGCGGTGGAGGGCTCGCTGCACCGCGAGGTCCGCGAGGTCCGCGAGGTGCGACGCCTCCGTCTCCTGCTGCAGCTGCTGCTGGTGGTGGTGGAGGTGGAGGAGGTCCGCGGCGCACCGGCCATGGCGGCCCCGTGGGTGCTGGCCCTCCAGGCCCTCCGGGCGCACGCCGTCTTGCACTACACTCCACGCATCCTCGCCGATGCACCGTTGCACCGTTGCACTGTGGCACTGCACTTCTTGTAGCGCGACGCAGCGACGCCGCTGCCGTCTGGCCTGCAGCCTGCAGCAGCCGTGCGGTTCGGCCTCGGCCCAACTGAACTGACAAACTGACTTGACTCGTGGTGCGCCGCCTTGGCCGCGCCGACGTCCGCCCGTCTGTCCGCCTTCCAGCCGCCCGGCCGTCCTCGGCACCAGCCTGGCACCAGCAAGCCAGCCAGCAAGCCAGCAACACGTTCTCTGGCTTGTCCCCACCGCGCCCCTCCCCCCGCCTCCCCCACGTCCCTCACCTGCCAGGTACGGGCCGCAGCGGCCGCAGCCCGCGGGGGCACCTGGCTCGGCGCCGCGGCCCCGGCTGGACCGGCTGGGCGGATGCTCGACTCGGCACCAGAACATAAAAGAGAGGAGAACCAAGGAGGAGGCGGAGGAGGAGGAAGACGGGGACGACGAGGACGAGGAGGAGGAGGTCGGTGACGGCAGGCGTGGCCGTCCGGCCGTCCGCCAGGTGGAGGGAGGGGAGGGGGTTCACATATGCAGAGGTTGGGCCCGCAGCCCGCAGCCCGCAGGGTGGTAACCATGGCAACGCAACAACTGGAAAATCGGCGCACCCTGGTGCTTCTGCTGCTGGGCGAGTGGATCCAAATTCCAGCGAGCTGGCAGCGGAGCCAGCATGCCGGACCTCTCCACGGCGGTTCCGCGGCACGGCGGCACGGCGAGCTGCAGGCCGAGGCTGGAGTTCCCCCTGGAGGGCATCACCGTTTACCCGCCGCCCTGCACACTTTCCTGGCCAAGCACGCCGCCGGGTTCTAGTTTCAAGATCGCGATGCCACGTCACGCGCACGCACGCACGCGCACGCCGAGGGCTTGGCGATGCTCCGCGCTGCTCGGCCGGCCCGCTCCGACAACGTCCAACAATGGCCGATTAGGCTGGAATGCCGGGCCTTGCCGGGCGTTCATCGCGCGGGGGAGCCCCCAGGGCGATCTGGGCGTGGCAGGGCGGCGGGCCGGGCCGGGGCGCGGCGGGGCGGATACCAACAACAAACGTTCGATCGTGTTCGGCCGATCAAAACGGGCCGCAGCTCCGCAGCCGTTCGAATCCACCCTCCGGTCCCATCCCGAGTACGCCGGAAGGCAGTCATCTAGATGGACTGGTCTAGATTCTGGATTCTGTTATTGTGGGCCGGACCGCCCGGTGCCGCCGCCCCGCCGGGCCCAGGGTTTGGCCCGTTTCGCAAATTAGTGTGGCCGCGATACGTATTCAAATTGGGAGACCTCGACGCGCGGGCCGCACGAAAGCTCCGCCGGGGAAAAACGGAACCGGTCCGAGGTCCGCGAACCAGGGCGATTTATTAGGGATGAACTGCTGGCCGGTGACACCGGGCTTGGCCGCGTGCAGCGTGCACTCGGGCACCGGAAGGGGGAAGGGACTACCACCACACCGCCACATCGGCGACCGCGTTTGAACGGCGCGCGCTGGCAAGGACACTTCGCGCTGCGGCCGACAGAGGGCAGCACCACCCGGAGCGCGCCGAACGCGGCGCCCGAAGCGGACCCGAAGCGCACCCGAAGAGGACCCGAAGTCGCGGCCGCTTCGGGAGCCCTCGGGAGCTCGGCGGCGCGCGGCGCGCCTCCTTTTCAAAGTCAGTGGCCGGCCAGTCGAGTTCGAGTCAGGGATCTTGGCGTACATCGCCGTCAGGAGCGTCCCGTCCTCGACTTCGCGCCGTCGTCGGCGAGCTGTGAATCGGCGCGGAACTAACAGTGGTGCAGCGGGCAGTGCAGGCCACCAGCACCATGGCGTCCAGCGTGGTCATGCTGGACAGGGGCAACAACACGACGTGCACCGTGAACCTGCACGGTGAGTGAGACTGGTCAGGCCGCGGCGCGGTGCAGCGCGGCGCGGCGACTGCAGCACTGCTGCAGCAGGCGACGCCGCGCCGCGCCCCGACGGCCAGCCTGGTCAGCTGATCGACTCGCTGACCGATGATGCATGTGTGCGTGTTTGTGTTCCGCAGGCGCCACCGTGGTGTCGTGGAGGGTGAACAACCAGGAGCAGCTGTTTGTCAGGTGAGTACTCCACAGCGCGGCCCGTCCTAGCCGTCCGCGCGCGGCGCACCTAACCTAAATTCAACAGGTGCCTCTGCTTGAAAATTAAGGCCTGCTTTGCTTTAAGGCGACCTTGGGACTTGGTCAGAATTAAGGTGGGGGAAAGTAATTTCTGACTTGGTTTTAACTGCTGTAGTCTTTGACAGTCTCTCTGTGGTGTTGTATTTATCATTTGCACTTATGGTAAAACAATAATGTGATCAAAATAGTGTTGTTACGCAAAGCATTTTGAGCGTATGTGAGGACAAAATAAATTGTCTTGCTAATGAAACCTTATGCATGCATTAAACATTAGAAGTATTGGAGAGGCATTTATATGTATTTAAACTGAAACATGGGATATATCTTTTCCGTAGTTAATACCCGTTAATTTTGTCAGAGCAATGCCTAGGTTACGGAAAGCTGGCTAGCACTCCTCGTCATTTCCCCGCAACAAAATCCAAAACTGCACACGTAGTTTCTGCTAGCCCTGATAGTTCCTGCGGACACCTCGAGTGTTGTGATTGTGTTCTAGTTTTTATCTGGACCATTCGGCCAGGTCTTGGGCTTATCTGGGCTCCTCGCGGGGGCAGCTCAGCTCAGCAGCCTCGTTAGAAGAAGCCGGCCGCCGCTCTGTCGCAACCCATCAAGGGGTCGTCTAATCTCGAGTGCGTCTGAGGAAAGACTGCGCAGGCGAGGCAGGCGATGACCCACCGCCTCGCGCCTCGCCCACCGTAGGCGTCGGTTAGGTCCCTCTGGCCTGCAGTTTGCGCCCGTTTGTGCTGTGAGGCCCTTTGCGAAGGGGCCTTGCCGGGCCGCCCAGCTCCGCACAGCCTGTTTTTGCTCTGCACTGTGCTGCGCGCTGCGAGCCACCAGTTTTTGCAACCCCCTGCCGCCCCTGCCGCCCCCGCCGCCCCCGCCCCGCGCCGTGTACTCGGGGGAGGCCAGCAGCGGCGGCGCTGGCGGCAGGGGCGTCGCTCCGCTGGCTACGCGTCGCCAAAGCCCCAAGCCCAGCCCGTGTTGTGTGCGTGTCGTGTGTCGTGCGAGCCGTCCATCTCCGGGGAGTGCAGCGTGCTGCTGCAGCGGCGGGGCGCGGAGAGCGGCCCGAGTTTCGAGGCAGCAATTAAAGGAGCGATTAATCATCGCCCCACGCCGGCCCGCCGGATAGGCCCGCCGGATAGGCCCACCGGATAGGCGCACGCGGTGGCTGCTCACGCCACGAGGACGTCGCGGACCAGGAGGGTCTTGGCGGGCTCCTGGGCGGTCCTGGGGCGGGCGAGGGCGCGGCGCCCCCTGCACCTGTTTGGCGCCGGAGATCGCTCTCCAAGTCCGTCCTCCAACAGTGGAGTTGCAGCACGTCGACGGGACGCCGGACGCGCTGGACACTGGACGCGCGGCCAGACAGTGTACGCGGCCGGCCGCGTCCGAAGTCCGAACCGCCGCCGCTCAAAGTGAATTTTGGGCCGGCCGTGGTTGCAGCGTTCCCGAGGGACGTGGATAGAGAGAGCAACGCCCTCTCGTGTCTCTCGGCGACTCGGAGGCAGCCCTCGTGGTTTTTGCTTACCCCCATCCCTGCCCTGCCCTTCCCTCTTCCCTCAGCGGGCCCGCTTCATTTATCCATCCCATCAGGATGGCTGGCCGCCCGCCCCGCCCCGCCCCGCCCCGGCTCGCGGCTCGGCCCGGCTCGGCTCGGCTCGGCCGCCGCTCTGCTCGGCTCGAACTGGCGTGACAAATGGCGGGGAAGCAGTACAGCGCGGCTTCTTATGAACGAGTTAGAGTGCACCCAGTGCTGGCTGTGTTGGCCGCCGCACTGCCGCGCCCTGCCTGCCTGCCCGCCTGCCTGCCTGCCCGCCGCGCGTCTTCGCGCTGTCTTAACCCTTTCCCCTCTCACCCCCTCGCCGTCGTCACCCCTTTCGGCATGGGAAACTAAGAGGGGTGCGAGAGTGCGCGAACGCCTTGTGTTTTGTTGTATCTCCATCTCTCTCTCTCTCTCTCTGTCCTGTCCGCGCCTCGCGGGCCGCGGCCGCCGCGGCGACGCGTTGCCCTCCCCGTCGGCATGCATCTAGGTCATGGTGCACCGCCCTGCGTTCGGCGTAGACGTTGTACACACTGTGGGGGGTTCAACGTTGAACCGCCAATGTTAGAACAGTCGTTTCCTCGCTCTGTCCTCCGTCGCACTCTGGGGCTGTCCAAAAGGGTGCGATAGAGACAGAACGACTAACCGCTCTCGAACCGGGCGGCCTGGCTGGCCAGCACTTGCCACCGACCGAGCGGCCAAAGCCCGCGCTGTGGCACACTGTTTGCCTGTGCACCAGGGGCAAAGTACCCCCCTCCCTCCCCCCGTTCCTCCAGCAGCCAGAGCCACTTGTTTTTTGGTGCAGAGCACAGCATAGCAGCCCGCCGCTACACCCCCGCCCACCCCGCCCGCGAGCCCCGCGCCCACGTGTTTTTGCCCCGCCTCTGTTGCCCGGAACGCAATCTACTCGCCCCGCCCGCCCCGCCCCACCCCGCCACGCCCCGCCACGCCCCTCCCCGCCACGCCGTCCAGGTTTTTTGCCCCGCCGTCATCCGGCTCAGCCCCCTTCCCCCTTCCCTCCCTCACTGTAGGACCTAATTTCTGCTCCCGATCCGTTCCACAGTCCTCCAGACTCCAGCAGGACTCCAGCAAGACTCGAGGGGGCGTAGGAGGCAGTTGGCGGCTACCGGGGGACCGGAGGGGCAGGGGGCGTCTACAAATTACCATCGCTTAGCGGGGACGGCCCGCCACGCCGTGGCCACGCCGCCGCAGACGAGCCCCGCAGCCGGCAGCCCCGGCAGCACCCCCTGGAGGCCCCTAGGCCCCTTGAACAACCGCCGCCTTGGCTATTGCCTCCCTTGCCTCGCTAGCCGCGCTCATCCAGTGCACCAACGAGGCCGAGACCTGAGGCGCCACCTTGGAGGCGGGCCCGTGTCCAACCATTGACCTGTCCGGCGAGGACGAGAGCGTGGACTTCCCCGCTCCGGCCTAGAGTCCTGCACTGTTAGTCCCCCGGCGTCCTACACTGTCCTCCAGGTCCCGGCTGCACTGTTGGTAAATCTTAGACGGGCCCTCTCCCGGCCCTTCCCGCGCGAGTGCACGAAGACCGCCCAGTCATACCCTTCTTCTACCTGTGCCCAGTGTGCCCGCACTGCCTGCACCCGAAATGCCTTCACTTGCCCCTGGCGGCCCTGGGCGGCCCTGGGCCCTTGCCGCGACCGAGAAGGACCGAGGGCACACAGCTCGCAGTGCACACAGGGCTGCCGGCCAGATGCAGCAGCGGCACAGCGGCGGCACAGGGCCGGGGGAAAGGGCTACTGCAGCCATCTCCCTCGCACCCCCACGGGACGACCCGCGAGTGCGACTGAGACGGAGCGACGCAACGAGTCTTCGCAGCTACCCGGCAATAAACGCCGCCGGAGCACTTCTCATAACTGCGGCACGGCATGTCGCACCTGCCTGTCTGTCCGTCCGTCCGTCCGTCTATCTGCTCCCAATTCGATTACACCGAAGAAAAGGGAAAAGAGCGAAACAGCTCGACAAAAAAGTCCGAGTCACTGATTTGCCCCCCTCCCCCTCTCCCCGCTCCCACACCTCAGCTCATCCGTGACGTCTCTAGCTCTGGGGTCTCAAGTGGCTGATGCTTTATGCATGTCGAGTTGATAACCCTGGCGAGCCCCGACGAGGCGTTCGCGCTTCGCGCCGGTCGCGAGTTCGATACGTCGATGCCACCACACTGTACTACGACTGTACAGTGTGCCCGCCTGCCCGCGCCTCCCTCTTTCTCTTTCCCGCCGCCTTGGATTAGTTTGAACTGACGGCCACCCGCTTCTGTTGCAGCAAGCAGGCGGTGTTCGACGGCAAGAAGGCCATCCGAGGAGGCATCCCCTTCGTCTTTCGTAAGTCCAAAACTTTCCTTCCTGCTCGATCATCCCGTCGAAGTAAAAGGCCAAAGAGCAAAAACAGAGTCGGGCGCGCGCGGGTATTTGAAACCCGCGGCCACGATTTCACGTAGAGCAGTCATCGTGACAGTTGCCCGCGTCTTCCCCCCGGGGAAGGGCTCGTCCTTCTGTTTTCCTTTTTCTGTTCTTCCCAGTAATCCTAACTGTACACTTTGCAAAGAAAGAAAAAAGAAAAGATCCCTTTTTCTTTTCCCTTTCTCCTTTTTTGTGGGCCTTCCCTCCCGCGCCGTGGAAATGAATCCGGCGTGTTTGCGATGTCCGTGGCGTTTTCTTTTCTTTCCGCAGCGCACTTCGGGTCGTGGCCGTGCGGGCCGCAGCACGGCTTCGCGCGCGTCCTGCCCTGGACGCTGGAGCGACCGCCGGAACGCAACCCCGCCACCGGCGACGTGGAGGCCGCCTTCATCCTCACCGACAACGAGCACACGCAGCACTACTGGAACCACGCGTAAGCCTCCGACCGTCTCCGTCTCGTTCAAACGCCCAAATTTCGGGGCTAAAAAAAAAAAAAAAAGGCTCCGGGTGTGATTCGAACCCGTGACGTTGCAGGTTCCGCGTGACGTACCGACTCATCCTCCGGGAGAAGGAGCTGCACTGCCACGTCCAGGTGGTGAACCCGAGCAGGGACCGGGAGCTGTGCTTCCAGCTGCTGCTGCACACCTACCTCAAGGTGCCCGACGTCACCCGCTGCCAGATCACCGGCCTGCGCGGCTGCACCTACACTGACAAGGTACTGCACGCGACTGCACAGCAATCCATTGGTGGGGGTCACACGCTCAGCTCGAGTCCCATTTAGCGACTCTGGAGCTCAAAACGCGTCCGCGATATTTTTTTTTACCGCCTCCACCGGTCTTCTGGCCCTCGCGGCCAACCACCCAAAAAAATAAAAATAAAGTGGTATTTGAACCGTTGACCTGTCGGCCTGTTGCAGACGCGGGATGAGGCCGTCTTCCAGGAGGCGAGCGAGGGCGTGCAGGTGACGGAGTGGACCGACCGGGTGTACCGGAACACGCCGTCGGAGCACATCGTCACCAACGTGGTGTCCGGCCGCAAGATGCGCGTCCTCAAGTACAACCTGGCGGACACAGGTATGTATAGTGCAGCAGGCTCCCGTCTGTTTCTCGGCTGTTTTCAAACTCAGTTTCGACATCATTTTGATGACTCTGCTCTGTGTTGTTTCAGTGCTCTGGAACCCTTGGTCCCAGGACGTGCAGCGGCTGTCAGACCTGTGCGCAGAGGAGTACCGCAGTATGCTATGCGTTGAGCCTGGACAAGTGACTTCGCCTGTGATGCTATTGCCTGGCACAGCCTACGAGGGAAGCATGATGCTTCAGGTGAGTTTGGAGTCTTTTCAATCCGAAGTTTGTACAACTCTGTGGGACAGTCCTCTTATGTTAAAAGTCGTTCGTTCCAGGTGATGTGAAATCTATGAAAGCTACTGGGCCTGCGGCTGACTTAGTTCCTAAACTCCTGCTCTGGGTCGTCAAACCAGCTTATTGTGCAAGTGAACACCTGGACAGCAGTGAAAACATCATTAATGCAAATTGCAATTTATAATTTTTGTCCCTCTAAGAAAATGAAACAAAAACATTGTACTGTGCCCTATTAAATTCTGTGATAGGATCCAACCACAATTTTTAATTGTTTTCTGCATGCCTGATGGCTGTTGGAAAAATTTGAGTGATGACATGGTGAGGATCTTGTTCCTTTTATGAATTGGTCACCATTGAATTGTGAACAATTCAGTCATTGTTACTATGATTAATTTTTAAGTTTGAAATTTTCCTTTATCATGAGAGTTGTCGTCTCAAATGTTTTTGAAACAGCTCCAATCTTGTGTTTAATTTATTGATTCTAGGTAAAAGTAGATAGCTAATGTCTCTTTTATTTGTTAGATGACTTTTCTCTGGCAAGTTTGCTGGATTTCCATATATTGTATACGATAGATTTAACTATCCTAATTTTAATTCTCAAATTTATGTAGTATTGCTTGGTTTTAAATAAATTTTTATCCAGAGGATGTGAAGTCTAATCATCTTTATGGACCACTGATTTATGTTGTTTGGATATAATAGAATATGCTTGTGGATTGTATAAAACTTTAGTAATTGCCAAAGAAATTTTTTTTTCAACTAAAATGATTTGTCTCTAGAGTTTCACAGTAAAATTTTCTGCACAAATTGATCTCTTACAAGCAAGATCTCTCATGATTGTTAAGTTTTATTCCGCTGTGTAACTGGAAAACAAACTTTGTAATTTGGTTATGAGTAAAAAATACTGTGATTAGTACGGTAAAATTGATGTTCTTCTTTATTGGTCCTCTTACACTTTGGAAAAGTTACAGTAACTCCTCTGCTTAAAAATATACGTTTGAGAGGTGCCCGTTGGGTGGCCTACCTCACCGGCGGCCTGTTTCGATTTCATTTTAAGCCACCTTTCTGTACCGCACGCCCCACCACCGACATGAATTCTTACAGAGAAACGAATTTCCCTGCTTGTGTGCGTGATCAGTACTGCTCGGTCTTCCCCCGGCTCACGCCGTTCCCAACTTCAAAACGCGCGCGCTCCCGCGAAACGACACATCCGCCGTCGCGCGAGTTCTCTGCGTCGAAACAAGTGAAAGTCTTTTCCGGTCCATCTGTCTTCTGCCGTCGTCTGCTGCCCGTCTGTCCTCCCTCTGGTCCTCCTTCAAACCCTCACCTCTCAAACGAAAGCTCTGACATGTTACGAAAAACTTTGATTCGAAATGAAGTGGTGCAATTCTGCAAGAGGGCAGTCCAGCCGACCTCCGTGCGCCTCGTCGGCCCAGCGTGCGTGAAGGCTTGCCAATTCCACAGGTAATCTGGAGACTGGTGTAGGGTTAGTGTGACCTTCCTGTTACGGCCACATACAGTCTTATCCGTTTGACCTTAAACTAGACTTCCATATCGCAACCAGCCAAGATGCTCTTGGCTCTTGTCCAATTCTACACTCCTTGAATTAAAAGTCATCCCCAGGGATTCCACTTTCTGTTCGATATATCCTGACAGTATAACCTAGTTATTGAGAAAGAATTGATGTGTTTTCTGGTATTGGAACATGTCAATTTGCATACGACTCAGTTTCGCCAAGCGACCCTGTGCGAAAAAGCTGATATCGACACTGATGATTTGAAGGATATTGATGATGGCTGTTTGACATTTCATCCTGGCTCCTTCATAATGACATTGACAGCTAAAGTGATGTTGGTTTAATTTTCAGTTTAAAAGTTAGCCAGCCATGTGTCCTCACTGGAAGCCACCATTTGGTGGAAACTCGGCAGCCAGTGCGACACTACTGTCCCGATTTACCTCCCCACAACAAAGTTTTGCTGCCAGCTTTGTCGCCAACCATGGAGTTGGGTACGATTATCAGCTGGGAGAAAAAGGAAGGTATGTTGCATCACCGTCATGTCACCTTGCTCTGGTCTCTTTTCACTGGGCCTGCAATGCGCTTCATTAAATTAGCACGAGTTCATTTTCATCAATGACAATATTTTTACTAACTTTAGGTGACAAGCTCAATGAAGGAGATCTCTTAGCTGAGATTGAAACAGACAAAGCTACGATGGGATTTGAGACCCCAGAGGAAGGCTACCTAGCGAAGATCATCATCCCCGCAGGAACTAAAGAGGTGCCGATTGGCAAGGTGAGTCAAGGGAACCTGAACAACTGTAACTTTAACAGTATTGATTATTTTTGTTGTTTCCTGCAGTTTTTGTTTTATCTGATCACATGCATTGCCTATTTCAGCTGGTCTGCATTATTGTCGAGAATGAATCAGATATTGCCGCTTTCAAAGACTACAAGGACGACGGCTCCAGTGCTCCAGCCCCACCAAAGGCTGCGCCTGCTGCCCCCGCACCAACCCCTTCTCCTGCTCCAAGGGCAGCTGCACCCCCACCACCCCCATCTGCCCCCTCTGTCTCCATCCCTGCTCCAGGTGCTGGAGACCGAGTTTACGCCAGTCCTCTCGCCAAGCGACTTGCTGCTGAAAAGGGGCTTAGCTTAGCGGTACGTAAACCAGTGAGTCTGTTCCAATTCTCTTTCTTGTTGGATTATGATTTGATTCTGAATGGGCTTTTGTCTGCAGTCTGTAGGTACTGGGTCTGGCCTGTTTGGATCCGTAACTGCTGCAGATCTCTCCAAAGCCACTTCAGGGTCACCAGCGGCGGCTCCAGCTGGCGCTGCTGCAGCTGCTGCGGCACCATCTGGTTCATTTACTGATATTCCCCTCTCTAGCATGCGAAATGTTATCGCCAAGCGACTTCTTCAATCCAAACAAGTAAGTCCTACTGAAGGCTCTTGGCATCTACATGTTCCCTGAATACGCTTAAAAATAAATTTTGTTCTTCAGACAATTCCTCATTATTACTTAACGGTCGATATTAAAATGGACGAAGTATTGAATTTACGTAAGAAGCTCAATAGTATGACAGAAAAGGATGGTGTCAAACTCAGTGTAAATGACTTCATTGTCAAAGCAACTGCCCTGGCATGCAAGAAGGTCCCTGAGGCCAACTCTGCATGGATGGACACCTTTATTCGAGAGTAAGTATTAATTCATGTAGTCAAGCTTCTACAATTAGATGTGAACTAGAGTTGTGATCTGTAAGAAAAACAAAACATAAATGAAACACACATTTCTTTTCAGATTCCATTCAGTTGATGTCAGTATAGCTGTAGCAACAGACAAGGGCCTGATCACACCTATTGTATTTGGAGCTGACAAAAAAGGTCTGTCTAGGATCAGGCAAGAAACTAACTTGCTTGTTTCCAAGGCAAAGGAGGGCAAGCTTCAGCCTAGTGAATTCCAGGTGAGACAGTCTACATGCATTGTTTGAAAGATTTAGGTATATGTATTGCAATCTTTGTAATAATCCTTCCTCTCTTCTGTGTAGGGTGGCACCATCTCTATCTCTAACCTTGGCATGTTTGGAGTCAAGAACTTTGCTGCCATTGTGAATCCCCCTCAAGCATGTATATTGGCTGTTGGAGGAACAAGAACACAGCTTCTCCCTGACAAAGACTCAGAATCTGGGTATGTCTTCTTGAACAAATAATTATCAAATAAGCAAAGATCTCTTGCTTGTTTTTGTAACAGTTGACACTCGTCCTTTTTTCTGTTTTTCTTGCCAACAGATTCAGGAAATGCGACATTATGTCTGTCACACTTAGTTGTGATCATCGTGTCATTGACGGAGCTGTTGGAGCCCAGTGGCTATCTGCCTTCAGGGAGCTGCTGGAGAAGCCCCACTCCATGCTGCTATAGGAAATTAAAAAATGAAACAGCAAGTTATTACAAGACTTACAATTTAAACCTGCCAATCCAGTCCAACTGGCATCAATATTCAATTGTGACAGTGATGAAACTCCAGTTCCACCTTGTTAAGATGATAGTTACACAGGGTCATTACTTGTCCAACAAATTATGTTATCATGTTATCTGTTATTTTTGTTGTTTTATTTTTTATGAAAATTATTATTTCTAATCAAAGTATTTGATATCCGGTGTACCATAACTCATGGTTTTAGTTCATTTTTTTGAAAATGTGATGCTGTGCAGAAATTTATCAACCAATGTGTACAAAATGCATAATGAATGTTATTTGTATTCAGTTTTCCTTCTTAAAGAAGTGTAAAGTAGATTTTAAAAAGAATATTTATTGTAAAGTGTTAATATTTGCCACAGCACAAGGGTACCCACTAGCTTTCCTGTTGCCAGTATAAAGTTGTGCCCTTCCAATAGCAAGAAAGTAGGTTTGCTTCAATCTTTTGTTTATAAGTGAACAAATGCCTCTCTTCAATGGTTGTAGTACGTAAGTCAACAGCACTTCTACCCTTTTGGATGTAGCTGGCAAATGATAATGTTAAATATGTGAATGTTCTCAATTGAGTAAATTGTAAAGGAAGGTACCTCTGTGCTTAAGTATTAGCAGTTACCTCTGTGAGGACAATTTTAATGTACCAATGTAGATTTGAATGAGTGTGAAATTTTGACTGAAGGGGAATCATGAGCAAGGTTTTTCTTTTTTTTTCATAGAGCCAATAACATTCATTGTGTTTAGAAGTTGAATGCAATGTGAAGTACTTTTACACTGCCGCTATTTATTGAAGTATTTCCAATGCTGTTTTCTGAAACGTTTCTGTTAGAATGTTAAATAGTTGCTATTGCCTCAGAAAGAAAGCCATTTGCAGGCCATTTTCAGTTACCTCTGTATTTATTGAAAATATATATATGTGTATTTTTTTTGTAAAGTACGTAATGAGTAATGTATATTCTAAAAATTTATAAATACTCCATTGCTTTCCTTTCTGTTTTCAGCAACTTGCTCATTCATCTTCACTGTCTACATCTGTTAATGGACCTAATGTACAAACGATGTTTCCGTTATGAAATACAACTGTGCCACAGCACATAAAATTTGTTAAAATATGATTCTTTTGAAACTACTTGCTGCTAGATTGAACAGAATTCAAGTTGGGGAAGTCCATTAGATTGGGCCTCAGCCTTTGGTTGTCATGATGATTCAGATCTTCACACATTGCATTCCTTCATGAGGAAGAAGCCCTTTTCTCATGATTTCTTTTTCACTTCCTTCGTAAGTCTAATTTTGGTTTACTACAAGTCCAACGCACATTTTGGAACAGAGAGAAAACTTAAAACCGCTGGCCAAACTGGTAACTTCCGGTTTTTGCAAAGCAAAACACACTCCAACAAACATAACATTCAGATTCAGATGCCCGGCAGCCGATAACAACTAGGTTAGTGAGTGTCAAAGATTTGAGTACTGTCATTAACGCTGTGCGTAATTGTGGATTTGCTTAAGAGCTCTGCAATTAGCCTCCTTCTGTATCTGCTAAATTACCGTATTGTTTGCTGCAAGTTTCAGTAATGTCCTACTTCTTTGCACTAAGGAACCCAAACACCTTTTCTCTGTCAATTTTCTGTGATTTTTCTTTATCTCAAACCATTATAAACTGAACCTACATTTTTGCTTCTTTACGACATATGTCCTATCCTTTTTAAATTTATGGGGCTTTGCAGTCAAATCCGTGCTCAATTTTTTGAAAAGTAGAGGTTATGAATGAATGGGAATTGATTTTAGGTACATGTCAGGATGTCCTTGTTTATCTTTGATAACTTATGTTTGAACGTGTTCCAGGTCAAAATGACGTACCAACTGTATAGAAATACAACACTAGGCAGTACACTTCAAGAAAGTCTGGACGAACTCATTCAGGTAATTTCAGTTTTTTAACTTAGCTACAGCCACTAGTTTGTACTGTATCTGAGAGTTTTTATCTCATATCCTTTCTAATTTTTGCCTATTTTTGTATTGCAGTATGGTCAAATCACTCCACAATTAGCAATGAAGGTCCTTTTGCAGTTTGATAAATCTGTGAACAGTGCTCTTGCTGGTCGAGTACGATCACGGTTGTCTTTTAAGGTAATGTTGTTGAAAATGTGACATGTTTCTCATGTTAACTGAAACGGTACCTAATAATCTTGTTTCATTTTCAGGCAGGAAAACTGAACACTTACAGATTTTGTGATAATGTTTGGACTTTTATGCTAAACGATGTAGAATTTCGTGAAGTGCAGGAAATAGCGAAAGTGTCTAAAGTAAAAGTTGTGGCTTGTGATGGGAAAGGTGAGTAAAAAATTAAATTTTTCTTCTTGGCTTTTATTGATAAATTAATCTTCCCATTATGAAATATTTTGAGTACCAATAATCATTTTTTACAAATTCTCTGCATTTTTGTTTCAGCTGTAGTGGAAGAAGCCTCAAGGCGTTAAAAATGTTGCTGGCATAGATTTAAAAAAAATCTCTTCATGACAGTCAACAACTACAAGTGATATTTAAGTTAGGCATAATTTTCTGATGTAAATAATGCTGGTTGAGGGTTGGTAGAAATTTAAGATTTTACTCCCTCAAATATTTAGCTGGCCATCCTTCACTTTGCTTTCTTGACTGGCTGAACTGAAGACATGAGCTTAAGAGCTTGTCAGCCTGCCCTAGTGGCTTGTCGATTCAATTTTTCTCCTATGTGAAGAAGTTCTTATCATTTTATGAACGGACTGTAAATGCCCATCATTAATTGTTGTCATCATATCTCTTATTTAGTTTCTAACATCCTGATAGTACTTACTGTAGTACTTTTTGTTTTGTTAAATGTGGTATTCCTTGAGCTAAGACTGAATCAGTTTCAGAAATGTTATTTAACATAGTGGAGCTTCTGCAATGTTGACTATGTGTAGAGGAATACTGCCAGAATTCTTATTATATTCCTAGGTTTTTTTGATTCTATTTCTAAAGTTGTTCTTTTGGTGTTCATTGACTTTGGTTGTTAAGAACATATTGTTCAATAGATCCGGCAACTTTGTTCATTCAAGCCTCTTAAAAATGATGTATATTTCAAATATTTCAAATTGTAGTAAAATTCAAAATGTTGAATATTGTTTTTCAATTACTGACTGTTCTTTACTCACAACACTTAACAATTCCTTTAATATGTTCACAGTTATGTTTTCAATGATGTTAAAACATTGCTGTCCTGGAAAGATGTATCCACTTTACTTTTAACTAGATGAACAGCTGGAAGTAATGCGGAGCCGCAGGCACACTTGGATTGCGACACAAAGTCAAAGGACCCAACCCGAGCTTCGCAGTTAGGACAGTTCAGCTTTCCCTTGGTCCAATCGCACTGAAAAAGCACAAACAAATAAATCAATAGGGTGGAGATGAGATTCAAATGTTGAAAGCACAATCACCAAGGAACACAAGGAACAAAGACGACAAGATCCAAGGATTCAGTAAGGTAGAGAGATAGGCACCTTTTCGATAATATCTGAAATCCACGGCGTTCCTGTTTCTTCAAGGAAATATAAAGAATCTTGTTCAGAATTGGAGCAAGTAGCGTCTTTGGAGTGTAAATCAAGCCTTTCCCCATGGAAAGAGACAACTATATGCCGAGTGGCAGTTTCTCTCACTAACTCGTGACGGCATTTTCTGCACTTCAAAATTACAATCATATCTTTGTAGGGTTCAAAAGGCTTCTGGAAATATTTTGATTAACGATAACCAAGAAGTTGGAACAAAAATAGTATCACAGAAGATTCGAGAGGAGGGTTATGTTGTACACATGTTTTCAAGTTTGTGTCGTCTGCCCCGCTTTGCTTTGTGATTGCTTTTGTTCTTTTGCCACTTTGTGGTCAAGTTTGCCCACTGACCTTTACATTTGGAGTTAGTTTCGACTAGAGAATGACAATTTTAGCCGTTTTTTCACTCGACAATTCAAAGATTTGTATTTGTGACACAATCACCTCAAAATCGACTTGTTTATGAGATCTTTACCAGGTTGCTAACGTCGATGTTTTTGGTACGGTGTCGTTCGTGTTTGAAGATCATGAAATATGGCGTTGCTGTTGTAGCGTCCGACTAATTTTCGTCGATGTTGTGAATGATTAATGGAATTCGTGAGGAACTAGATGAAATTTTTTATGCACGCAACGAAATGGTTTGTTTTCTGCACTAGACGGCGACCTCATGATTCAATGTGAAGGTAAAAATTATTCTGCCAAAGGAACACGTCGGTCTCGAACCTAGCTGTCTGTTGAGAGGTTGAGGCCATATGAATATATTGTGAAGGCTATTCATATTTGTTCAGGGAGCAAGGCATTTCTTGTAACATTGGGGTTTTTATGGCTCGAATCTATTCAGTATTTTTCTGATCTCACCCGGCTTTGCCCAGCCGTACAGAGCCGAGGAGGCGGTCAGCATGTGAGATTTTACAGCAGTTACCCAAAGGGCACTAGCAATCAACACATCCCTCTGCATATCCCTCGTAGCATGCCCGAGTGATTTGCTTGTTTCGAGGGGCCTCGGCAGAGTATTGTTAATTATGACATCATCAATTTTAGTTCTTTAGACGGTAACTTGGTATTGATTTGTATAGACAGGAACAGTCCCTGTCCAGTTCAGTCAGTACCATTTTCGTTTTCGTTTTTCTGGGGCAGGATATTCTCTTTCAACTGTAAATGTATTTGTTTTCAAGTCACATCTGTGTTGTGGTTGAATTCTACAAACCTACAACCGACCGGCAAAGCCCCTTAGCACGGTTCAATAGAGATTTATTAGGTGGCCTCAGAAACTCAATGGGTACAGGACCATGCCCTGTTTTTTTGGTAATGGCTATTTGCTTTTAAATCTTTTTTCTTGTCGTATTTTAAGTTTACTATAGCACTCACTGGTTGTGTTGGTCCTCAGAAAAAGTCGTTTTTAATTTGTATCCTTCCTAATTTTTGGAAACTTATATATAAATCCATTATCTGCTCATCTGCCCCCTCCCATTTTGATTGGGGTTTGTGTGTTATTAATTACATTGGAAATATTGCTTTTATAAGTCCTGCTTTAAAATCATTGTCTATCTTGTGTCTATATATTTTGAGTTAGTTTACCCTCATAAAGGGTTGACTTTTATTTTTTTCCTTGTAATTTTGCTGTTTTTGGAGGTTAGGAGGGGAATAAGTTTTCCTATTTCATTTTTGTGGACTAATTTACTTGTTTTAGCTCTGAAATTTGAGAAATTGACTGTAGTCTTCATGCCTCTTCCCTAAAAAAGCTTTTTTAAAATTTTACAACTTTTTGTTTTCATGAGTTTTTAATTTTTTGTCGGACAATATACAAATTTGTGAGATATTCAAATCATTAGTGACTTTTATGTGTGGCTTCGTATCATTTTTTCAATTAATACTAAAAATATAATGCCGAGAATTGTGACAAAATTTTCATAGCAAACATTATTTTTGTTGTAGTGAGGTTATGTGATTGTTCCAGTTCCCAAATTAATTTTTAATCTTCTTTTATTTGCAGCCCTCAACGTGACTCCATCTATCATCAAATTGTTAGGATGGCCCGGAGAAAAAAATCCCAAGTTGATGAGAGTGAGCAGTCGCCTATGCAAAAATGTCGTGGTCCTAAAGTGAATGGCTTATCTGACAATAATGTGAATGGTGACTCGGAGTCTGACGATGGTCATGATGATGAAGAAGTGAGGTCTACCTATTCATCTCAAGCCTCTAAAGATTCAACAATGTCTCCCTCAACTACGGTTGTACACAAGAAATTTGGTAAAATCAATTGCTTGCCTCCAGAATCACAGGACGATGATCCTACTGTGGACTCTGAGGGTTCAAGTCACGACCAGGAAGACGTTCAAATGGATGAAGACACCAGAAATGATGATGCTTGTGATGGCACTGAACTGTTGGAAGTGGTCTTGGCACACGAACAAGGTGAAACGGGGGGTTGCAGTGTTGACGATGTGGAAGGCATGGAAGATGCCGACACTGAAACAATTGTAGTTGAGGTTGAAGAGGGGATGGTGGATGAAATTGACCATCAAAACACAGTTATTGTGCAGGTTGTTGATGAAGAGTTGATGTACTCTGAAGAAGATGGTGCAACTATCTGGGAGGTGGAGGCTGTGGAAGAGGTAGACAATGAGGGCAATGAGTCGGACGATGCATCAGGGCAAGAGGAGGTTGTTCTGATGGAAAAGGTAGATGAGACTGTAGAAACCTTCGAGACATTTGAAGCCTCTGAAGATGTTGCTGTGAATAACGTTTCATCTTCTGGTATCACAGAGAAGAGTGAAGGACTGGACCCTGACATGTCATCTCTAGCCAGCCGGCATCCATCAACCCTTGACAGTGACATGTCAGACAGGGAAGTGGATGATGACCAATCTGCCCTGAGAAATAAACTTTCTCCCGATGAGATAACTCAAATGGTTCTTGGTCTTAACTGTGGAAGTGCAAACGTGGCAGTGGAACGTAAATTGTGTGAAGTTAGTAAAGACAAGCAAGAAAGTTCAGTTACTAATCAACGTAGAGAAAGTGTTATTACCCGAAGAAGTAGTGAAGAAATCGATATGGATGTAGACATGAACTCTAGACTGAAAGGGAATCCCATTCATGTGTATGGTAATCCTAAGAAAAATAAGTCGCCAACAAAAACACCTGAAAGCTCTGTGATTAAAAACAATTGTGGATTAACTACCCCTCCAAGAAAAAATGTGATATGCATAGATGATTCACCTTCAATATTTACTCCTGGCGGTTCAAGTAAGAAGGAAGAAGTTAGTTGTAATGAATTGCCAATTTCAAGCATTGGGGGCAACCTGTATAATGTAGATTTAAATTCCGTCACCCTAAAGAAAGAAATCTCAGTTAAACCCGCTTCCAAAGATGGGCACGCTTATTTGGGTATAGAACCAATCAGAAAGGAATCAAAATTAACTGAAGAAGAGTTTAAAGCTGCTAATCTTCTTCGTAATCGTAGTGGCAGTAGTGATACTACAGGATCAGACAGTGGGTCTCGGAGTCCGACGGTACGCCGCAGTACACGAATCCGCGCACCACCTGCTGTGAAGAAACAAACTACACCAAAGAATTCGTCTTCAGATTCTGTGGATTCCACCAAAGAGAATCCCTCATCTTCAACAAATGCCTCATCAAATCGCTCTTCTTCAAACACCTCCCTTGCAGAAGTTTCTATGCCAGTCAAAGTGAAATCACGGTGGCGGAGATCAAGTGAGCTAGAAATGGGAGGCATGGCCACTTCAGACCAAGATATAGGAACCACCGTCCCTTCACCTTCCCAACCACCTGAACCTCCCATGGCATGCACCCCACCTGCCTCTAGTAGAATTTTGTCAGAGAAAGAGTTAAAGGCTAAACAAGAAGAGGAGCAGAGAGAACTTTCAGAAAGACTGAAAGGTTATGAAATCTTGAAGGAGAATTTATATTTGACTGAAAGGTACATTATTTTTAAAATTATCATTACAATGTGTTGTTTTGACTCCTGGCCATTATGTAAATTCCATTCAACATTCACCAAATATGCATTAATTGTAAGTTTGTTTTTTCGTTCTGTTTTTACAGAATTAAAAGCAAAGAAGCAAAGCGTATGGTTTGCGATTGTTCATTGAGTAAAGAAGAAATTTCTCGGTCTGAAATGGGATGTGGAGAAGATTGTCTTAACAGACTCCTTATGATTGAATGGTAAATAATTTCCTTTTTCTTATTTATCATTTCTCTGTTTGTATTTTTCTTCATATGTTTTGTAAAATCTATTACAGTGGTTCTCGGTGTCCTGTGAAGAACATGTGCTCAAACAAAAGATTTCAATCTGCTGAATATGCCAAATGCGAGGTTTTTAAAACTGAAAAGAAAGGCTTTGGTTTACGAACAACAGAGGATCTTCCAGGGTGTGTGTCTTGCAATGAATCAATCTATCTAGTGGATTTCTTTCTAGAATATTGGTTAATTTTGGTGATCAAATTATTTCATGTCACTGACTGTTCTTTGGTGTTTCTCTTTTGACAGTGGCTCGTTCATAATGGAGTATGTGGGGGAAGTATTGGATCCAAAGGAATTCCGGAAACGTGCCAAAGAGTATTCCAAAGACCAAAACAAACATTATTATTTTATGGCCCTAAAATCTGATGCAATTATTGATGCTACCACCAAGGGAAACATTTCAAGATTCATAAACCATAGTTGTGAGCCCAATGCTGAAACTCAAAAGGTAAATTCAAGTGTTGATTACTGCTTTGTATTTTATATTATTATCTAATAAGTGTATGATTTGTTACAAATTTTTGGGGGTATGTCCCTTTTCTGGATGTTACTAACAACTTTTGATTTATTTTAGTGGACTGTGAATGGGGAACTTCGCATTGGGTTTTTCACCACAAAATCCATCCGAGCTGGAGAGGAAATCACCTTTGACTACCAGTTCCAAAGGTATGGGAAGGATGCTCAAAGATGTTACTGTGAGACCAGTTCTTGCCGCGGTTGGATTGGAGGAGATCCGGACTCTGAGAAGAGCCAAAGTCAGTGGCAAGAATGGAAGTACAAAGATTCTGCAAAGAAGAAACGTGATAAAGACAAAGACAAGGACAAACGTAGAGAGGATATAGATGTGAGTACATTTTATGATTTGTGTGTGGTGCATGTTTTGAGAATATGCTGTTTTTAATTAAGTTATTGTAATTTCAGCTTGAAGAAGAAATTGAAAAGTTATGTTCCACTGGACTGAAGAGCCGTGCTCACACACTGACACTATGTAGGCTTATGGTACGAGCAGAAGATGTTGATTCTCGAGGGAAATTATTGAAGCTTTTAAGAGATGGAGAAGCAGCCTGTTGCCGGTTGTTCCTAGATTATCATGGTTTGCGCCTCATTTGGAGTTGGATGATTGATGTTAGAACAGCTGATAATGTGCAAGCAAAAACAGAGGTAATATTTCCTTAAATCAACCAAAGCAGTGAACAGAAGAAGGTTGAATGTATATTAACTTCCGCTTTGCTTCTGTGTTTGCCTTCTCTTTAGATTCTGCGAACCTTAAAGAAATTGCCTATACCAAACAAAACTATGCTTATGGATAGTAAAGTATGGGGTGTAGTTGAAAGATGGTCTCAGTGTAAACTGAGTGCTGAACCGAGTCCTCCAGATGCTGACAGGTATTTACTATTTGTTTCTTTAGATATTTTTTTAATTTGGTTAAAGTTTTTAATCCTACAGTTTCTAATACAATGTATTAATGTTTCTCCCTTCCCTTTTTTAGAGCATTTGAAGAGGAATCTAGCAATGACCTGTCAGACAAAGTCGAGTCTGATGAGAAAAAGACAATATCTCCAGTGAATGATGCACCATCAGCTGACATCAAGCCACCTTTGGACTCTGGCATGGAAGTAGATGGAGAACCAAAGGAAGAAGTAGCTAGCTCTGATGCTGGAGCCAAAGCCTGCGCTGAACTGGCTGCACTCATAATGCAGGCATGGAACAGCTTGAAGGAAGTCTTCCGCATTCCCAAGAAAGAGCGCATAGAACAAATGAAGGAACATGAAAGGGAAGCTGACCAGCACTTCGGAGAGTTAGATGAAAGGTACAAAGATGACGAGAAGCCGTCCTACGACAGGTATGACAGGCATAGAGATGACCGGAGGAAACGATCAAGGGAGTCCCCCGAACATGACCGGTACCGACGCCCGAGACTAGAGGAACGATCTCGGTACGATGATCGGCGCCATGACGAACGATCTCGCTATGGAGAGAGATCAAGATACGAAGAAAGGAAGTACGACGACAGAAGATATGACGAGAGGAAGTACGAAGACAGAAGACACGACGAAAGAAGATATGAAGATCGTCCCAGGACTTTAGAGGAAGTTCCCCGCGTAGATGATAGACAAATTGATGTCAAACTAAGTAAAGAAGCTCGCCGGAAAGCATTTGCTATGAAAGTTCAGCAGGAGGAGGAAGAGCGAGAAGCCAGACGCATTCAAGCGGAGAAGGATGCGGAAGCTCAGAGACATGCACAGGAAGAGTGGTGGCGTTATCATGAGGAAAGGTGCAGGCAATTGAGCTTGGATCCTCACGTCACTGCTGCCATTTTCAATTCTCAGTATTACAACCCAACAACCAATCAGTGGGTGGCGTACACTCATCCCCAAGGTTGGTGCTGTTCTATTCTTGAAAAACTTATCCATGATATTTCTGCAAATTTAATTTTTTTCAATTCTTTCCAGATCCTAATCTTCCACAAAACTCATATCAATCTGAAGTTGGTCAAAACCCTGTACTGTTCCCAACTGATCCCAACAGTCCGATACCGACTCAGCTTCAAGCAGCCGCGTTCCCTGGCATGTACACTGCTGCTCCTACTCAGCCGTCACCCTATGATCCTACTCACTTACCCCCTGGAATACCTGGTGTGTCACCTGTACCAAATGGAGTCTCCCCCGGAGTGTTGGTGGCAATTCCCCACAGTTCTAGTGCCACCGCCACGACTGCAGATACATCCCTAATGGTGCAGGCGGGAGCTGTGGATCCTCAGTCAGCCACGTACCAACTGCCGCAAGGAACTGAGGATTCTTTCAGAGCCCAGGTAAGCACAGCATTTTTTGCTGTACTTCAATTTGCCATATTTTAAAATTTGCACTGACCAAAAATTATCTGTTTTAGGATGCTCTACCACAGGCTTATGCTGGCTCTGGAATTCCTGCGGAAAGTCAGCAACCAGCCGCTCAGTACTTGCCACCCCCTGTACCTGTGAAGCTTCCACCAAAGTGGAAATGTGCCAAGGATGCTGAGGGCCGCACTTATTACTACCATGTGAAAACTAGAATTTCTCAATGGGAGCCACCGCCATTGCCTGTCTCTGTCCCGGAGACTGTAGACAGTGAGTCCTCTTCAAGTTCTAGCGAAGAGGAAAATGAAGATGAAAACGAAAATGAAGAGGAGGAGTCAGATTCTAGCGAGCCTGAGGAGAACAAGGTATGTTGGACTTGAGAGCCACATAAGATTTTTTAAGCATTGGTTTTATTTCTCTCTCTCTCTCTCTTTAAAAAAAAAAAAAAAAAAACATCATTGTAATGAAACATATTTTTCTTTTTCTAATTATTTTAGTTGGAAGAAGAGGAGGAAGAGGAGGAGGAAGATCCAGAGGCGGATGTGGACATGCCCTTGGTTGTCGAGCAGGGCTTAGGAATGGCGACTCACCATCAACAGCTGATGCTGGCGGATCCAGACTATCCCAACTTCAGTCCTAGACCGGGCGTGGATGCCAAAAAGAAACGGCGTGTAGGACTAGTGCAAGAGCATATCATCAGTGTGAGTTACTAACCCTTCATTCAAATTAGTACCACTAAATGAAGTATTGTTGTCCATTAGCTAACGTGCTCTTTTTTTAAAATTTCAGCCTCGAAGAGACGAGGAGAGAACAGATCCTAAAGTTTACAAGCAGATTAAGGAGAAGCTTCGTCGTCAGAAAGAGAAAAGGAGACAGAGAGATAGAGATGGCAAAAGCAGCAAAAAACGTCACAGAGACAGTGACAAATCTAAAACTGTGTACTCACTTGAAAAGCCTGTAACTGTTGCTGCAGATACTTCTAGTGATGCTGCACGTCGCATCAAAGACCAATTTAGACTAAATATGGCAGGTGTGATAGTGACACATCTGAATCCATACCGCAAACCTGATTGTAAAATGGGTCGTATTACCAATACTGAAGATTTCAAGCACTTAGCTAGAAAGGTAAGTGGCACAGATTGACTCCTTTTTAAAGTTAGTGCTGAATATTGTATTTCTGTTAACACACTCTCTTTCTTTTGTCTAGCTTACCCATTTTGTGATGCTGAAAGAATTAAAGCACTGCAGGAATGTTGATGACTTAGAGTGCAATGACAATGTTAAACACAAAGCCCGAGACTTCATTAAGAAATACATGGCCAAATTCGGTGAAGTGTATGTGAGACCGAAGGACGACGACTGACAACACAATTCCCCAGCCCCTGGTATGTATATCTTATTCAATCTATTCAGGGATGAATTCAAAAGTCTCAGTAATCCATTCTAATCCAAGCTTCTTTTTTTTTCTTTTGTCTTAAAGGTGAGAGTCTTGAGCTGGGGCTGGGGATGGGAATTGGCGAATTTCTGGAGTGGCAGGATGCTGCCCAACAAAATGCCGTCGATGATGATAGCACTGGCACACCACCAGCAGGTCCAAGCCAAGGCCCGGACCGTGTCGTCAGGCATCCTCAAAACGCCCTCGTTTTCCCATGGAACGGCCAAGAAGGTGACAAGTTTGGCTACACTGTGGAAGAAACCTACATGCCCTACAAGCTGAAGATGATCTCAATGTGATGTGAGACAGAGCTCAAAGAAAACATGGTTTTTTAATGTCAAAGTTTTCTAAAACTTTTCTGTTGGATGCCTAATGTCAGTTAAGCAACAAATCTTTTACAATATATCAGATTATTCTCAAGTGTGATAGTAGAAGAAAAAATCCTTTTGTTGAAATAGTAGCACTGAACTGAGAAACATCAAAGGTTCAAACAATTGTGAAGGTATTCTTTTCAGTTTTATCTTGTATCTTGATTCATTGAGATGAATATGGGAGCAAAATCATGATAACATGAATTGACCGGTTGTCAATATTTGCCAAATGAAATATTGTAATGAACTTTATAAACTGTAAAGGCAGTGACAGTTCTGTCTTGTCCATTAATTGCCCAATTTGAGTCAATTCTGATCAGCTTCACTGCTCTAGTGCAGTTTGTTTTTGGTTCTTCAGTGGGCAAAAATACTCTTTTCTATTAGGAAATTTTTCTAGATGTATATTGTTCATTCCTTTTTGCATAATATAGGAAATAAAGAGCATGTTTGGCGTTCCCCATGTGCTCTTCTTGTTGACATTTAACTTAACCATTTCATGAGAATATTTTCTTGCCTAATTTTAAGGTTTTTAACTTGGAAACTGCTTTTTATAAGCATGACAACATAGAGTTTGGTATTGAAAACGCGTTGAATAATGAACTTTGTTTTTCCTTTTTTTTTCCTTTTTTTTTTTCAAATGAAGTGTCAAACTCTTGAGACTAGTTTATTATCCTGAGATTTTTATTACTGAAATTTTGTCAGACTAGGCAGTGATTTTATTGTACAGAATGTGATTTATGTATATTGTGTACATTTACTCTGCAATGTACAGATACAGTCAACTTCTTTCTTGATGTAAGATAATTATAGGTAATATACTAGTCTTCATTGGTCATCAGCTAAATCTGCTTTCTATGATTAGGCTGATTAAAATAAAATGTGAGTATAATGTTTGCTTGTACAAAATAATTTATCATATTTCTCCTTAATCTCCCTAGGATAATTGTGATAGCTTAGATTTGTTGTGCTTTTCAGAACATTTAGGTCTGTAAAGTGTTACCTTGATTCTTTGTACAAATATTTTTTGTCAATAAATTTCTCAGAAAATGTTGTCTTCTTTATTACGCTGTTCGTTTTTCTAAGTTTTTAAAAATAACTTAGTATATTTCAGAATGCTTGGTAATTAGTGCTATGGGCATGTTTGGACTAATCATGTATGTATATCTTGGGAGCAGACAAGGAGTCTGGTCTGTATATCACTGCCTTTATTGTTAAAACATGCATCCAAATCTAGCTCCTACTGCAACCTACTGCATGTGATCTGGCTCTGTCATTCTTCATGAAGAATGAACTTCTCATTTTCTTCGGGATTCACATCAATTCTGATATAGTCATCTATCCTGTATTCTCTTGATATTGTTACAAGGAGACCCATAAGTTAACAGAGAAACAAACTTGTTAGACTCATCTCCTCCATCTGTAATATTTTCATGGTTAGACTTTATTTATGGTCTTCATTTTAAAAAAATTGTTCATATCTGTGTACATACTGTTTGTAAAGTATAGTTTGTTCATTCTTCATGTATTTGTGATGTTTTATTGCAATTATAATTACTATTATCACGTATGCTACGTGACTACTTATTTTGGTGTAAAAATTTGTTTTTATATACTGTACTTACAAAAAACTCTATTAAACTGGAGTGTACAGATCGACATGCCTTTTGTCATGATTTAAAATCCTTGTCCTCAAATCACATACGAGCCGACCGGCAAATATTGCACTCATTTTTGGTGGTGAAAAAAAAAGAGGAAGGAGCCATTGGTACCAGAAAAAGACCGTCACCCAGCACCGAATGAAAAGTGGAAAAGTGGCGGGGGTCTGTGCCTGCGGGGGCTTGTGAAAGGATATCCGGCGAACGTTGCGGGAGACCCGGGGAAGGAGTTACGGGGCAAAAAGGGTAAAGGGGGAGGGGGAGGGGGCATTCCTGCAAATGACACACCGGGGAAAGCTAGGACGAACAAGGTGTGGGCTGGGCCGGGCTGGGCACGGCCTCAGGCAATTGCATATTCATACTGCAAGGGTGCCGGCTCGGCTCGGCTCCATGGCGCGGGCTGCGCGGGCCGCGGGGCGACTAGTCTTTCCCTATGCCTGGAGCGGGGGGGAGGGGGGGGGCTGAACTGCACTGCAGGGAGAGCTACCTACCGCCGCGCGTCGCTTCTCGCGGGTCTCCAGGGCCATGCTGGCCGTGCTCTGGAATTGCACCGGCACCTTCCACTCTTTTCCGCCATCGCTCTCCAGCCTCTACGCCACGCCACGCCAGGACGCGAGCACCGCGAGCACGCAGGAGGAAGAAGAGCACTCACCACTCCCCCCATTCAGCAGTTTTTGTGTCTTTTCATATTTTTTTTGGATGAGTCGAGTGATTTGGGCAGTGGGAAACAGCTTTCCGGCCTGAGCGGGCCTGTCCATGCGGACACATCGGCCGCAACGCGCAACAGCCGTATGCGAAGCGCGAAGCGGAACGGAGCACACCAACTCGCGGAAGCGCGCGCGGAGGGTGTTTGAACCTTGACCGGTGGCGTGGCGGGTGGCAGCTGGCCCCGGCCGCCTCCACTAGAGGCATCGCACGCGGGTTCCGGTTCCAGACTCGGCCGAGGCAGGCAAGCTGGGGCAAGCGAAGCGCGCATCGCCACGCGAAACGCGAATCACACGTCCGGGGCTGTAATGCAATTGTTGGGGCACAACAAAGGAGCGGAGCGGGGCTCGCACACCGTGTCACCGCGCACCGCCGACCCCGCCCCGCCCCGCCCCGCCGCGGAGAACCGCCGCCGGCATTCGCAATGAGGAAGGGTGCCGTGCCGCACCGCGCCGCCACCGCACCCCTCCGACTCCACCCCGTCGCCGCGTCTCGCCGCGTCTCGCCGCGCCGCGTGGTCGCGGGGCGCCGTGGCGGCCGTTCACGAAAGTGCCTTGCACCGCGCCTCCTCCAAGACTAATAAGCTGGTGCTGGCGGTGGCGGCGGTGTGCGGCCTGGCGTTATTCAAACCCCGCGCTAAAGGCCTCGGCTGTCCTCCTTTTTCCTCGTCCGGGATAAAAAGGGGCAGCTCCGTATATAAAGTGAGGACGGCGATGGCTGAGCGGCTCAGGCCGGAGTCCATGGCCCAGGTCGTCCCGGCCGGTTGGCGGGGCGCAGAGCGGCGCGGAGCCGATCCGTTTGAGTAATGTCTTACGCGCCGTGCCCGCCCCGCCGCGCCCCGCCGTGCGGCAACCCTCTCGCCCCGCCGCCACCCCTCGGTGCGGTTTGCTACAGATACCCCGGGCCGTCGCCGCCGTCCCCCTGGCGGCATGGCGGCAGCGCGTGCGACGGAGACGACGTCGGCGAGGCGGGGGAGGCTGCGGAGGGCGCACTGCACCGCGGCGGCGGCTGGGCCGGGCCGGGCGGCGTGTGGTGTCTTGCTTGCACAGCACGTATGCATAAAGCTTGCGCGGGCCGAGGGCAGGGCGGGCAGGGCGGGCAGGGGAGCGGCGGCCAGGGGGTTATAAGGTGCCTAGGCTCGCGCGTGGGCGCTCGTGGAGCTCGGCGATATCGGCTTCGGAGGACTTATGTGTCGCCATATGGGATCGGGCGTGTGTGTTTGGACACCTAGGCGGTCCCGGGCCCCGGCGGCTGCAGGACCATCCCGCTGCCTTTGCCGGCCCCAGCCCCAGCAGACTGATTCCGAGAGGCGTTCTGTCTCTCTCGCACCTTCAGGGGCCACCCGATGAGAGCGAGAGAGACAGCGCGACGAAAACGACTCTCGGAATCAGTCCACAGGCCTGATATACGTCATCACGTCCACGTCCCTCGCGCTGCTTCCGGCGCCCACCTTTTTGCGGTGCCCCAGCCCAGTGTTTTTCCTGCCGCCACCTCCACGTGCTCCAGCAGCATGTGTGCCCCTGCCTCGTCCTGCCCGGCGCGATTTCGGGCCGGCTCGATCCGCATTAGGCCGCGTGGCTGGTCTCGGAGAGTCTCGAAATCAGTCCACTGCTTCGCCTGCTGCAAGGTCGCCGTCGCGTCGCGCGCCGCCAGGGCGACGAATGTCCGAGGGGTCTGGCGTACTTCCGGTCTGGCGGCGGGGACGTTTGGGGTTGGCCCGGGGGGGGGGGGCCTCACCGCAATCCCGGAACACTTTGGGGATAACCTCTGGCATTATTCCGGTCGCTCCCGGGGAGTTGGAGGGGGAGGGGAGGGGGGCACCGTTTGGCAGCAGTCAAGCTTGATGGGCAGTCATGGTTCTTGGAGCCACCGAGGGAGGGGGAGGGGGGGGGGGTGATGCGTGCGCGGCGCGGGAATCTGTTGTAATGGGCCAGAACCCACGGCGGCGTCGAGGACCGCCCCAGGAATAAATGTGAGGCCTGGGGAGGGAATGTGCCCGTGGGGAGGCCGGGCCGCCGGGCCGCCGAGAGGAGGGCGAAGTCTTGAAGGAAATTGGGAGGGGAGGGGGGAGGGGAGGGCGACGTGCAGCACGAGGTGAGTGGGAACGCGGGTGGCGCGAGGAAATCAAATTTTCCGGCGCGAGCGCGCGCGTCGTGTCTGGGACGGAAACGGCTGCTTAGCCTACTTGTCGAGGCCCGTCGCCCCGTCCCGTCGCCCCGTCGCCCGCCCCTACACGTCCCCTGTCACGCGCTGACCAGCAAGGCCGCCGACGCCGCCGACGCCGTGACTGTCGTTTGGAGCGCGGCGTGGCCCTGAGTGGCACGGAGCGCCTGGCAGGTAGGCAGGCCCATCGCGCGGCGGTGCGTGACGCGCGCAGCGACGGCCTGCCTGCCAGGCGCCTGCCCGCCTGGATTCATGTATGGATGGACTGCAGACGGACAGACAGACAGACAGACGGACAGGCAGTCGGAACGGGGTGGGCCGACGGATGGACGGGCAGAGCTGTAAAATGCAGAAGCTTCGGTCGCTGCGTGCCAGCGATCGGTCACGGCGTGGTGCTGCATGCAGTGGCCGGGGCCTTGCCGGGGCCCAGCTAGCAGGCAGCCGTGCTTCCCTCGGCCCTACCCGTGGCCACCCCCACCCCACCCCGCCCCGCCCCGCCCCGCCGCCGCTCCGTGAGGCGTTACTAGGTGATTTGGAGGCGTGCCGCGTACCCTGCGGCTGTGTGACCATGGCGGGGCGGGGCGGGGCGGGGCGGGGTGGAGCGATCCTTGTGCGGCCTCCAGAATCCCGCTCGACCCCAACCAGGCCGCCGAGGTGTACTCCATAACCGACCCCGCCCTCCAGGCCAGCGGGCCAGGCCGAAGGGCCAGACCACTACCTACACATCCATGACCCCGCCGCATTTTCTTCTTCTTCTTTTCACTCGCCTTGTGGAAATGGAACACATTTTTTTGTGCGTGCGCGTTGGCAGTGGGGCGGCGCGGCGGCGCAGCGCGTAGTCCACCGCGGCGGACTTGATGCCCTGGGAACACGATCCGTGGGATTGGCCTAAGTGCGGCCTCTGCATGCGTGCCCAGTGTGCCCAGCCTCCTCCCCCGCCTGCGCGCCGCGCGTGTTGGGGCAGTCCAGGTGCTAAAAGCTTTTAAGCGCACCGGGGCGGGGCGGGGCGGGGCGGGGCGGCAGCCTCGCAGCTTCCTCGCTGGCTACGCCGGGCCACGCCGGGCTACGCCACCACTCCTTCCAGTCCACTAATGGACTGAAACGCCCCTCTGAAACGGAAAATATACGGGCCAGAAAGTTGGGATGAGCCGGCCGCCGGCTGGCCCACACGGCCACACGCCGCGCCCCGCTTGTACAGCACGGCGGGGCGGGGCGGGGCGGGGCGGGGAGCGCCCCAATTGTTCCACCCCGTGCCGCGCGGGCGCCGCTCGCCATATCCGGCGCCGCTTTTTACCTGCCGAAAGATTTCGGCGACAGAATTGGAGCGGACCTCTTAATGGCTCCTCCCCCCTCCCCCTCCCCTCCCCCCGCGACAAACGGTGTTAGCATACGGCCACCTGAATCCGCCGCCACGGACCAGCGCGGCGGCACAGCGCGGCGTCCGCGGGGATGCTGTCGTTGCCGTGCAGCTAGACATGGTGTCCGTCCTGCCCCCTCTGGCGCCGCCGTACGCACCGCACACTGCCGAAGATTTCGATTTTAACGGTGTACACCCCCTGTAATAGGAAGGGGCTCCGGAGTAGTCCGTCCACGTGCATGCAGGTGTGGGGGGCGGCACACACACCAACATACTCACACACACGCACACACACACACACACCGGACGCGCGCGCACACACACACAGTAACGAGCTGCAGTGCCGGAGTGCCGCAGAGGACCGGAGCTGGCCAGGGCCGGGCCAGGGCTGCCCGGGGATGGGGGCTAAAGGACCCTGGCCCGCCCGGCCCGCCCGGGAAGAGACAGGAAAATGGCCATGAATTCTTGACGCGTTACGAATTGCATATTAAGTATTCAAGTGATCGCCCGGCGCGCCGCACCGCCCCCCTCCCCCTTTCCGCGCTGACACCAGTGGAGGACACGTCAGTGTGTGGAGGCGAGGGGCCGGATGAATTTCAACCAAATTACTACACGTGTGCACGCACGCACGCGCACTCACAGACACCTACACGCGCGCGCACACACACACCCTCACATTTCCACACACACACGCGTGCGCGAGTTTGCGGTGGGCCGTGCGATATGGGAGTCCGTCCCGAAGTCATTAACACCGTGTTTGCAGTGGGGAGCCGCTTCCGGCCTTGGCCGAGGCGAGGTGTGCGGTTGATCGCAACGCGGTCTGTTTCCGCTCCACTTTTATTTCCGCACCTGGAGTCGCGCTAAATGGGACTCGAACCGAGCGTGTGACCCCACCAATGGATTGCTCTCCGAACGAGGAATCCATTGGTGGGGTCACACGTCCGGTTCGAGTCCTGTTCAGCGACTCTGGAGCTCAAAACGCGTCTGGAGGGAAGGCGGCCTGCGCCGGTCTTCTGGCCCACTGTGCGGCCCTTGTCACAAGAGCGCCGACTTTTCGGCGGGGGTGTTGTTGGTGCGGCAGCGCGGCAGCAGCTTGGCTGGCGGTTTGGAACAACTACGAGTCCGTGACTTCACGACCTATGTCCTCCCCCACCCCTCCCCCCTCCCCCTCCCTGGGGCACCGCGCGCCGAAACCAGTACAGCGCTCCCCACAGTGCTGTAAGAGTGAGTGTTGTGTGAGTGTTGGCGGAACATCGCCCCGCCCCGCCCCGCCCCACCCCTTCCCTCGGCGCCGCTCCCCGCCCCACCCCGCCCCGCGGCCGGGGCAGGCAAGACTGTTAGTTTCATAATCCTCCGCTCCGCCACGCACGGCGCCACCGCCGACGAAGAAACGCACACACCGTTTCCGAAACACAAACAAATTTATTTTATTTGGAAAACACGCAGTCGCAGGTGCCGCAGTGGCGCGGCTAGTAGTAGCAGTGGCACTTCTTGCAGAGGCACAGCCCCCAGTTGTAGCCCCGCTTCGTGCACGACTTCCAGCACCAGCGCAGGTGGCACCGGGGCGGCGGCCGGGGCGTCGTCGGCATGTCGGCGTCCTCGACGTCCACGTCCAGCTCCACGACGAAGCCCCCGGCGTCGTCCAGCTCGGTCTGCAGACACCGACAGTGAGCAGTGCAGTCTACTCGGCGTGTCTCGCGCGCGACACACTGGTGGCGACGTACCTCGTCCGCCTGGTCGTCCGTGGCCAGGACGTCGTTGTCCTCGTCGCGCACCTCGCCGACGGCCACCCGGCGCACCACGTCCACGTCGGTGGACTCCTGCTCCACCTCGCGCACCACCAGCATGGTGCCGCCGCCCGCGGCCATCACTGCGCAAGGAGGCAAGTCTGGAGGAACGCGCGGCGGAAACGAAAAGGGGAACAAAACAACAACAAAAAGAGGGGCGTGCGTACCGTGCGGCTTGGCCCAGCCCGGCTGCAGCGCGCAGAGCGCCGCCACGCCGACCAGCAGCACCGCCAGGGAGAATCGCATCGTCACACTGCCAAGGAAAGGCCGCCGTCAGTTGTCTGTCTCTCTCGCACCCACACGCCGCCCTGCGGCCCGCCCCGTGAGTGCGACAGAGACAGAGAGAGAGGCGGAATGACGGAATCGCTCGGCCGGCCGAACATTTCCTGAATAAAGACAAGTCTGTACAGTGGAGGCACTGCGACGCACCGGCCAGACGGGCCGCTCTAAATCCACATGCAAAAGGCGGCCTGGTTTTGTTGACGTGACCTGCCCAATAGTACAGCCAACCACTCAAAAAAAAAAAAAAAAAAAAAAAAAAAGAAGATTGAGTCAGCATGCTTTACTTTTACATCAAAGCTTTAATCCATGAGAGTAAGCCAGTGTGTCCAAGTGTCCACCACCAGATCGCGCGAGACATGCATTTTGTTAACAACAGTGGACTAGTTTTCCAACACTGACCAACAATGGCCGATGCGCTATGAAATTTCACACTCTCGCTCTTTGGGGAACTGCAGCGGGTAGGCCGTCGCGTTCTCTAAGCCTCACTATACGACGGCTTCTTGTTCACCCTTCACTCACCGACTAGGTTGGCTTCGACGTGATGAACTGTGCGGCCCAAGAGTCCGCGGGGCACTCTGGGGGCAGTCTCGGACTTGGCCGAGGATTTAAAACTGAGGCCCCACCACTCCGCATGACGTGACCACTCCGACTCAGGTCCCCCCCCCCCCCCCCAACTGTATGGTGTGTGTACAGTGCTCACTTAAGGCCGGTCACTCTGGCCATAAATTGTTTTTCTCTCTCTGAGTGTGTGTGTGTATGTTCCCCCTCCATTTTATTTTCTGACCGAAATCTTACCTGTGGAGGATGAGAGGGTAAAACTAGAAAGACACCATGAAACTAATGGGAAATTTGTTTTACTGATTTATTTATTTTTTTGGACAATTTCGAGCAGGCATAATACAAATATACAGCAACTTGGATTTTATTCGTAACATAATTTTTCGTAGGTTTAGTTTTTTTTTACGGGGAAAAGAAGAGTCTCACAAAAAGCTTGCAGGAGAGGTTTATCGGGGTTTCGAAATTATCATCCAAAAACTACTAACAGTTACGTCACCTTTCCTCGCACCCCAGTGGCAAAGTCCACGTGAGTGTTCTTTTCTCTTTTGGTCTGCATCACGTCGTACCCACACTCGGCGACACTATGCAGCAAGCCACAGACAAAGCAAATCAATATTTTGGCACAAACCTGCTAACGACGAGTACGACGCCTAGTTCTGTACATAAAGGACATATTTTATTTACACGAAACGCAATTAATTTATTAATTAACAACCATCATCATGCCGAGTCGTTCATCACAGCGCTAGCTATTGCCACACCCTCACGGCGTTGTATTCCCCACGTTCCCACACTTGAGCAAACTAAACCAAAAACGAAACAGAAATCAAAAGTTACAACAACAACAACAAAAACACATGTTTCGCTCCCCTTCGCGCCGCCTCTATTTACATTGACAGGCCAGTTGTTTCAACTGACTTTTTTTTACACTCCAAGCGACAGCGAGGACATTTATGAAGCGATAGATGTCGACAACGTGTATCCAATCTGTTTTCTACTAGCAAGAGGAATAGAAAGAAGTTTATAAAATACTGTTTGACCGTGAATCACTATAAAGTGCCCCTTCTACGCAAATCACGACTACAGCAAACTTTAGTCGGAAACAAAACAGCGAAATCCGGCCGCGGCTCGGGCCAGGCGACCGCGACAAAAGAAAAGAAAACATTCAACAAGTTAATTTTCTTTAAACTTAAACAGTCTTAGTGCTATACGTTGGGTCTAGATATGTTTCATGAAGGTATACTATGACACAGTTCAGGTGACGATCCTGTTCCTCGCAGGCCAACTGTGAACATTTACTTGAGTAATTTCTGAAATTACTTTAATAAAACGTTTTGGACAGCATCATGTTGGTGTGATTTCCTTGCTTTCTGAAAGGGAAGTACGAAGTACGCACATTGCAGCGTTACACAGGTAACCGGATACATTCCTCACAACCATTCGTATCTTGAAGAGAACCACTTTGACCGTTCCCTGACCACTCGCGGCGCAGCTCAGTGTCGCGCTGACGAATACACACACACGCACACACACGCACACACACGCACACACACGCCTCTCTAGTGCTAGCCGGTGCCTCTAGCCCGGCCCGTTGTCTCTGAAGTCTCTCGTGTCCAGTTCGAGCACTCGACGCACTCGCGTTGGTCCTGAACCTCTCCGAAACGCACACCGTGGAGCGAACCCGCTCTCTGCCGCCAGCCCGGGGGTCTTCTTGGTGACGGGGACGTTGTCTTTTTGCTCGCGGCTCTTCGCCACTGGTAACCACACCAGCCACGCGGCACAAACAAAAACAACACGAAACGTAAGCTAGAGCACTGTTTTCAAAGAGTCCGGCTCGGCCCGTCCCGTCTCGCGATTGGCGGAGCCGCGGAGCCCGGCGCAGCCTCAGCCAATAGCAGCGCGTTCCAGCCGCCGATGACGTCACTCGGCCAAATGGCGGCCAATGGCAGCTCAGTTGAGGACGCCGACCAGCACCGGCAGCCCCACGGCCAGGGCGGCGAACGTGGAGACGGCGACGCCCGAACCTGGAACACGGCAAGGGGAACGCGTCAAGGGGGCTCCGTTCGGCAGCGAGCCACCATGCTCAGAACACCTGCGAGATTTGCAAACGTTTTTTTTTAAGAAAAAAAAGAAAAAAGAATTATTTTTTTTCAAAATTCAAAAAAAATATTTTCTTTGATCGAAGAAAGGTTTCAAAAAGCAATGGTGCGTAAAACAAGAAGCAAAAGGCGTGGAGAGAGACACTGACGAAACATTCCATTTCACACTCTTACAAAAAACAAAACAAAAAAACACAACAATTTGAAATACTGGGCGGCTTTTTGGCGGGAGAGGGAGTACAAAACAGAGTATATCATTAGGCGAATTAGGACGTATGGTCACAGGGCAGCTGCATAAAGCCCAGCATTCCCTTCCTCCTGCTCTCTCTCTCTCTCTCTCTCTCTCTCTCTCTCTCTCTCTCTCTCTCTCTCTCTCTCTCTCTCTCTCTCTCTCCCGCTCACCGCAGACAGAACCACGAGGTTCACGCCAGCGGGAAACGACTCCAATGATTAATCAAGCACGATGCAGAGGCCTTTGCCCCCCCTCCCTCTCTCTCTCCCCCTCCCTCCCTCTCTCCCTCCTCTACACCCTCTTCTTTCCCCTGGCGGCACGTGTGGGCGTGCACCTGCTCCACAGCTTGCTCCACCTCGTATGAGAAATGGTGCGTGGCGCCGTGTCGCGTCGTGTCGCGTCGTGTCGCGTCGTGTCGCGTCGTGTCGCGTCGTGTCGCGTCGTGTCGCGTCGTGTCGCGTCGTGTCGCGTCGTGTCGCGTCGTGTCGCGTCGTGTCGCGTCAGGGGAACAGGCGGCAGCAACAGTGTGCCGCCGACCCGACCAGCGATTCGATTAATCGATTAATCGCTCGCCTCTCCTTTCCCGCGGTTTCTGTACCCGCGTGATGTGTACCGCGGGGAGTGATAGGTCACTAAAGCACGTGACAGGTCACTGAAGCGAGTGACAGGTCACTGAAGAAAGTGACGCGCCGTCTCTGATATTCCGGGTAAGTAACGTGAAAATATTGCGGCATACTATGAGCATTTTCGCGGTTGCTTTGAACCGGCCTCGACTGGCATGTGTGTCAGTTGGTGGTGCATGCATGTGAGAGTGTGCGTTTGCGTGTGTCTGGTAGAGAGAGAGAAAGAGAGGCTGGTGCAGCACGAGCAGCTGTGCGAGAGAGAGCCCACATGACAAAGTTGGCGGTCACGCTGCAGTCCCGTGACCTGTAATCACACTCCGTTTGTGTCGGGCCAGCCGAACCAGCCGAACCAGTGAAAATAAATCAGTTTGCAAACGATGCAATCGTCATACATCCTCCCCCCCCCCCCGCGCACCGACCGCGGAAACAACAAGCCACCACTTACCCGTCACCGCCTAAACTCAACATCAACATACTGTGCCAAACAAAAGCTAGAGTAAACAAACGAGTTTCAAATGGGTGCAAGATTACTGGAACGTGTGTGGGAGTGGAACCTCTCTGTGCAGGGTGAGTGGTGAGTGGGCACCCCAGTGAGATCGCCCGCAGAACTTCTTCTCGTCTGGTCATTTTTGATTCGTTCATCCGAGATTGTCTTTCATTGTGAGAGAAACTGCGGAGTTCTGGCGGGGGTCCCAACAGAGTGGTAGCTACAAGTGCTCTGGGTGCAGACAGTGCGGGGGTGCTCAACACGGTGACATTTCATGCGGCGCAGCGCCACCTCGCGGAAACCTCAGCAAGGAAACCACTTAACGCTTTGATGACGGAAGTGAAAAAGAATTTCAAACGACGGAGAGAACTTGAATGGCGGTCCGGCGGCGGTCCGGCGACGAGGTCGATTGGCTCGCCGCGTGAACCGCGCGGAGCTTGGCCGAGCGTCGGGATTGAGCTGTTAGTTGCTGAGGTCTCCGCCAGGCGCGCTGCGGGGGGCTGCGGGGGGCTGCGGGGGGCTGCGTCCACAAAGTGACACGTACGCCCCCAGGAGGCCCCCCTGGGGGTACTGCCGTGGCATGCCGTACCTGCCGAGTGCGCCGGGGGGCCCGGGGAGGCGCCGGGCTGAGGCCGGGGCCGCGGGGGGCTAGCGGTGGGGGCCCTCTTGGGGGCCAGGGGGGCTATGGTGTTGCCTTCGGCCGAGGAGGTCTTCGTCACCCGGAAACCCGGGCTGAGGGTCACAGGGCGCTCTGGAACAACACGTGGAACAACACGTGGTACAGCACGTGGAACAGCACGTGGAACAGCATGGGGAACAACACGCGAGCGGTGGGCCGGGCAAGAACACAGCGCGAGGGCGGGGGATAACGTCTCTTGTTCTTGCCCCAGAGTAATCGTGGTTTTTCTTTATTCTTTTCCTTTTCGTCCACCAGGTGGCGCCGCATGGGGCGACGCGGCGACGCCCCCGCCTTCTCGGTGTGGTGTGTCGAGTGTCGGGGACGTCCGGGGACGGCGCGACGCGAATCCAACCAATCAGCGGCTAGTCTTACCTTCCTTCGGGGAGCCGCTGCGCACTTCCGTGGCCTTGGGTGCCGAGGACGGCATGGGGATCTCTGCAACAGCGGAACAACCGTACAGCAAACGTGCAGGCTCGACGAAACAACGAAAACAACATGAGCACGGCGACGTGGACTCACCGTAGAGCCGGATAGAGCCCTCCGTCTCGCCCAGCGAGTTCTTGGAGATGCACTTGTAGCTGCCGAAGTCCTTGGCCTTGAGGTCGCGCACCGTGAGCTGCATGTGCGACCGGTACGAGTTCTCCGTGGTGACGGGCGTGTGCTTGGAGGTGGTCAGCACCATCTGGCCGTCGTACACCCAGTAGCTGATGGCGCGCGGGAAGGCCTCCGTGTGGCAGTCCACGGTCACGTTGGTGCCGGCGGGCGCGCCCACCAGCTGGTTGGGCACCCAGATCATGGGCGGGACTGCGGCAGACAGACGGCCAAGGGTCAGGCGGGCGTACAGTGGACCAGAAGAACGGCGCCGGCGGCCAAAACTCCAGACGCGTTTTCAGCTAGGCAATCCGGCATTTGACCGATTCAGAAGTCGTCTTCGTCGCTCTATGGGGCACTCCGTGAGTGCGAGGGAGACAGAGCGACGAACCGCTCTTCTGAATCGCTCGACAGGCGGACGGTTTAACAATTAATTGCCTCTCGCGCGAGGCAAGGACAGAGACAGAGACACGGAGACAGAGACGCATCGGGCTGCCTTGTTTGGCGCGCATAAGGGGGGCGGGAGAGAGAGAAACTCCACTAACTCTTTTTACAAGATGTAAAGACTCCGCGGGGGAGGGAAGCTGAAGTTGCTGTTGTGTGTGTGTACACGCGCGGGTACGTGAGTGTGTGTGCGCGTACGTGTGGGTATGTCTGTGTGCGTACGTGCGTGCCGGGGCGCGCGCGCGTATGTGTGTGCGTGTGAGAGAGAGAGCATGTGTGTTTCTGAAAGAGGCGAGAGGAATGCAAAACGCGCGAAGAACACGAGACAAGCATCCCCCCCACCAGGAGCAGGCCTATCAGTGGGGGAGAAGAAAGGGAGTCAATTTGACAGTGTGGGGGAGGGGCCGCGACGCCGCGACCCGCCACGGCATTCCAAGACCAGCCCTAATTAGGATGAACGCCTGTTTCTCTCTCTCTCTCCCTCTCTCTCTGCGGTAATGTGCTGACACACTCTAACCTCTGCCGCGCTCCGTTGATGCGATATAATGTGCTTACGGTGTGTGTGCGCACTACCTGGCCGCTCACACGTCGCACGGGGAAGATGAGTGGCCTGTTTCTGGGACGTGAGTGTGTGTGTGTGTGTCCCGATCACAATCAGCTTATCTCTATTTCAGCCACGTGGCTCTAATACCTGCCTGGTTGTGCAGTGCTGCGGGCAGACACCCCCCCCCCCCCTTCCCCAGCACGTCTCCGACTCCAGGGTGGAAATTCTTCCCCCTCCCCTTTCGCGCTGCTTGCTCGCGAGACGCCGAGCCAAGCCTCGTTATCGACAGATGCCTGGCGAAATGATGCAAACGCCGACGTCGGTGTGATGACAGAGAAGAGAGTGTTCTCGTCACTGGCTTGCCGGTCCGGCAGAGGGAGAGAGACAGGGCGCGCCTCGCGATAAGGGAAACAAGGCAGAGGAGAGAAAAGAAAAAGAGTTGACGAGGAGCGTGTGTTTGAACCAAGGACTATACGCGCGCGCCGTCACAAGAAGTCGATTAATCGAAACGCTCCGCCGCACACCGCTGCCTCTCTCGCTCTCATGGGGCACCCCGTCGGGTCGCGAGAGAGACAGAGCGACGAGAGTCTCAGCGGAAGCACCCCGAACGGCGTGACGTGGTTTGTGGACGGCCTCGGTGAACGTGCCATAATGATTAAGCCTGATCCCCGGGGACCTCGTGCTCGTCCAGGCCGTCGTCCTGGCCGTCGTCCTGGCCGCCGTCCTGGCCCTCCTCGCCCTGGGCCGCACGGCGGCCCAATGAATCGGATCAGCGGCAATCCCTAGCCAGTCCCCGGCAGAGCCCCGGCAGGGCCACGGGCATGCCGATGAGGACGACGCCGAGCCGCGCCCCGCCCCCGAGGGGACGACGACGGCGTCCTCGGCGCGCGGAGGGCGGCGGACATCCCGCCGCGTGCCGCCGGCCGCTCGGTCCCAGCCCCAGCGGTATACCGCTAAATTTTCCACAACTCATCACTTTTTCATGAACAGTGTGCCGGGCGGGGCAGCCTGGCCCCGAACCATCAATATGTTGCATCCAGATTGAATGGCTGAGCAGCAGCAGCAGCAGTGTGCCGGATAGTTTGACTTATTCAACTCGAAGCCCGGCGTGCTCGGCGTGCCTGGCGTGCCCGGCCCGGCGACGCGGCGCCCCTAAACGGACCGTTCTGTTTTTAGCTCCAGTTTCGCGACGAGGAAAACAAGCAGCCCGCCAGGTCCGCGTCCAGGAGCGCCATCACTGTAATTACATTCTTACGTCGCTGTCGGCGCGGCCAGGCCGGCCGACGCACAGTGGGCCAGAAGGCCGGCGCAGGTGGCCAAAACTCTAGACGCGTTTCGAGCTCCAGAGTCGCTAAGCAGGACTCAGACCGAACGTGTGACCCCACCAATGGATTGCTCTCCGAACTCGGAATCCATTGGTGGGGTCACACGCACGGTTCGATTCCTGCTTAGCGACTCTGGAGCTCAAACCACGTCCGGGATTTCGATCGCCTCCACCGGCCTTCTGGCCCACTGTGCTCTGACCAAGAAGAGCGCCATCACTTATGCACGGCCTCTAATGCTATCTCTCGCTGTCTCTTTCGCTCTGCCGGTCAAACATGCATGCCATAGTTGCAGAGCAGCGCGCCTAGAGGGCGCTGTAACTCGCCTGGCGCGCTGGCGGCGCCCTGGAGGCCCATCCAGGGCCCGGGGGCACGCCTCTGCGCCGTGCCGGCCTTGTCAGAGGAGCGGCCGAAAGTGGCCGAAGTGGCCGAGGTAAGTACACTGGAAAAGGGAGTTGGTCGCAGCGGCCGGAGTAGCTTTTGATTGATGGGGGCCAACCATCCCGATATTGCGCTTCGATGGTGGCAATCGGATGTCGACGACACTGGAAGTTCGTCCGACGCGCAGCCAGCCTGTCGACGAAGTCGATTCCCTGCGACCGATCCTTGCGACCGATCCTTGCGACCGAACTTATTTTCCCGTGTAGCTCGCGCGAGTCGAGTTGAGTTTCGGCCAATGGCGGAGCCCGTCCACGTCCATCGGCCCGGCCTCCAGTCGGCCTCCAGTCGGCCTCCAGGGACGACGCGGACTCCCCCCTCCCCCACCCCCTATTTACCCCGCCATCTTACCGACCCGCCTTGCGCCCGTATCGCCCGTATCCATCCATATTCATCCGCTCTCCGGCCTGATCCAGCGCTGGCCTCCGCCCCCCCCCTCCCCCTCCCGGTCCTAAATCCACCCGCTTGCCTGCCCGTCCCCGTGCAGTGGCGATGGCACACTGTAGCGCCGCCGCGCCGCGCTGTGTCGGTACGTCGACCACCGGGCTGCTAATTGCTATCTCCGTGGAGTGCTTCTCTGCTCGAAGCTGGTGCTTCCGCCTCCACCAGTCTTCTGGCCCACTGTGCGACTGGCAGGGTAGAAAATGGCCGAGTAGGTTTTTTTTCGAATTTCTCTCCCGTGTGAGTGTAGCGACTGCTCCTTCCAAACTCGAGTATGCATTCGGGAAACTTTCTCCCCGCGCCCACCCCCATGACGATGCTGGCTGCTCGCAGTGTACAGTGTGTAGTCCCGCCGCGGCGGGAGGACTCGAAGCACTCACACTCGACGTCCACGGTGATCCTCTTGCTGACGGTGGGCGGCACGCCGTTGCTGGCGATGCACAAGTAGACCCCCATCTCAGCGCGCGTGATCCGAGACAGGTGAAGGGTGTCGCCGACGAGCTCGGTGGCTGGAAAAGACAGAGACGGACGATCGGTGTTAATTGAAATCATTATTAGTGCTGTTATCATGTGATGCGTCTCTCTCTCTCTTCGAACAGCAGACCATTTCCTTCTCGACTCTCTGTCAGTGTTGCCGACGACAGCAAAAAAAAAAAGTTGAATCAAACCGTGTTTTCACAAACACTTACACAATCTGGAGGGCACTCTCATTCGTCGGACAATTATCGCAAAACGACAATCGAGGCGCGAGAGTGCGGGATGTATTAAAAACGACAGCAAGGAAATAAAGTGACTTTCAGAGGGGCGAAAGCAAATGCGGAAAAGCCTTTCACGCTCCCTTTTTTTCCCTTCTTTTTTTTTGCCCCTCATCTTTCGCGGAAATCAATCAATCGACCAATCGTCCAAAACGGCTTCACAATCGTTTCGAAACAAAAGCACTGCGACACGGCGGCTGGCCCGGTCGGCGTCGACGCTCCGCGAAAATACTACAAAGTGCCGCGACGGCGAGGGTAGAGGGGGGGGGGGCAGATATATGAATTCGGCCGACACAAAATGAAGAATTCCCTTTTAATACTCGCGACGCGGCCGACGCGGTACGGCAGGCTTTCGATAAATGATGGCCGAACCGAAATGAAGTCGCATTCATCATCCTTATAGTGAAGGGATTATTTTCTGATAGTCTTTTTCGGCGGGCAACAATCGCCCGGCCGGGAACAATGCATCGCGTGGCCCGCGCTACGAGTGCGAGAGAGAGGGAGCCTCGCCATGGACGACGAGCCGGAGCGGGAGCCGGAGCCGGCCGCCGAGCCGCCCCCGGAGCAGCCCCCGGAGCAGCCTGCCGAAGAACCCCCGGAACAACCCCCCGGACAACCCCCCGAACAACCCCCCGAACAACCCCCCGAACAACCCTCGGAACAACCCCCCGAACAACCCTCGGAACAGCCTGCAGAACAATCCCCAGGGCCGCCCCCCGAGTCATCGCAACCCTCCGAGCCTCCACAACCCTCCGCGACGGTCCCCGTGCAAAGGTTAGCAGGCTGCATGCATAGTTCCCAAGCGTTCCTCAGCGGACGCGCTAAATATGCAACTAGAGTCGCGGCAGATGTCCTCTCGGATGTCCTGGCGCCGACGCGATGGTCTCGACTCGCTCACTCGAGCGGCGAGCGCCTGCGAGGTAGGCACCGTCGCCGTGCTCCACGCACCGCGGCGCGGCGGGACTGCCTACCTCGCAGGCGCCCCGCTGCACCGTTACCATTACCATTAAGGGCTAGACCGCCCTCCCGTTGCAGCTCGAGGAGGTCGAGCGCGTCCACCGCCGCGGCCGCGCAGCCCCGCGACGCCAGCCCCGACACGCGGCAGTCGTTCCTCAACGCCCTGGACACCGAGTTCATCTACTACGCGGCCGCACTGCGGGTCTGTACCGACTGTGAGCTTCGCTAGTCGGCACCACCGGTCGGGAAGGCAGTGGGACTCATGCACTGCCTCCTCTCCGTCCGTGTTCTGGGTCGTCTCGCTAGCCAGGAGCTCTCCCCGCGCCTGGGTAGCCCGGAGCAGCGCGCCAGCCTGGAGCAGTGGGTGCGGCGGCTGTTCAGCCCCGAGTACTGCAGCGAGGCGCTCAAGGAGAAAAGGAACCGGTTGGAAAAAAAAACTGCCATTTTCCCCTCAATTTTTTCTTCAAATTTTTTTTTTCAAAAAAAATTTTTTCTTCAAATTTTTTTTTCAAAAAAATTTTTTTCTTCAAATTTTTTTTTAAATTTTTTTTTACCCCAAAATTATTTTTTTTTTTCAAAAAATTGTTTTCTTAAAAAAAATTTCTTCAAAATATTTTACTACTTTTTTTGCAGCCTGGTGTGCTACATCACGGTGTGGCTGTGCGGCGCGCTGGGCGACGACTCGGTGCTGCCGGAGTGCCCGAGGCGCGGCCCGCCCCCCACGCCGCAGGAGCTGGGGCCGGGCCCCTACAGCACGGCGTCCTGGGAGCTGGACAACCAGTGGCTGCACTTCCTCAAAAGTAAAGTGCAGCGGCGACGCGCCCCACAGTGGGCCAGAAGGCCAGAAGGCCCACTGTGCGCTAGTGCCTGCCGCTGCCTCGGATTTATTTGAACCGGCCCGCAGGCGTGTCCAGCAAGGAGAAGGCCCTGTGCGGCCAGCACCAGGACGGCTGCCCGCCCGACGAGTCCAGCCAGAGCTGGGAGCTGGATCAGGTAGTTGTCCTCTCCATCCATATTCCAGTGCAGGCGTGGCCAGCGCGCTGCCGCCTCTTGTTTACCAATTGAATATTTGGCGCGTGGAGTGATAACATTTGCTCGGCCCGTCCGCCCGTCCGCCGGTCGCGGGAAATGGCGCGTTCGTTAAACTTGCACCGTCGTCGTCGCGCGGTGGGTTTCGCACGCGCGTTCATATTTCCTCTCCGCCTCTGGTTGTTGTTGTTGTTGACGACTGACTGCGTGTCCAGGAGCTGAAGCTGCTGCTGCACCTGTCGGCGCCGCTGCGTCCGCAGCTCGGCTCCCCCGGGGAGCGGCGCCTGTGCAGCCTGTGGCTGCGCTTCTTGTGCTCCGCCACACCGCAGGACTGCCCGGCGTTCAGGAGCCTGCGCAACCAATACGCCAGGGTGCGAGATCAAAGACCTCTCTCCCTCCCCTCCCTCTCCCCTCCGCCCGTCCTCCCTCCCTCCCTCCGCCACAACCCGATTTTATCGTTTTCAGATTTCGATGCGCGCGGCAGGGCACGCCACGCGTTGTAGTAAAGTGACGGGACAGGGCTTGCCGCGGTTTGCCCCGCACGCACGCACGCACGCACGCACGCGCACACTCCGCGCTACCGAAACACGCGGGGCAAATTACTTGAGGGTCGTCGCTACACTGTAGGCGCGCTCCAACGCCAGTAATCCTGCTGGGATCAAAAACTTGTGTAGCTTGGCCGCTCCGCCGCCCCGCCGCTTCGCCGCCGCCGAGTTGGGTCGTAAGGACGGCGGGGCCACGGCGGGCCGCCTCGCCGGATGTACTTATTGGCCGGTAAATAATGGGTATCGCTTCGGAAGGCACTCGGCTTTGGGGCGTCGGGCTCGGCTCGGCAGGGCTCGGTGTTCTCCGAGTCGATACCGACGGCTTTGCAATTAGGTCCAAAATAAAGCCGTCGTAATTAATCATAGTGGGAGACGCGTGCGTGCTTGAGGGCGCCGCGGAGGGAGCAGGGCGGGTGACCTAACCTAACCTCACCGAACGGAACCCGTTGGTTTCGTTTTCGAGAGGAATCGCCAGTGTGTCGCCGCAGCCGAGACGGCGGCGTTGCCACTTTTTCCCCCTTGCGTCTTCTGCCCTATTTTTAGAGTGTCGCGTTACCGGCCCCAGGTGCTGCTGGGATACCTCCACGGCGGCGAGCTTCAGGGCCCCTTCTGCACCGAGCCCCCCTGGGGGCAGGCCCTGCCCGCCCTGGGGGCCCCGGGGGGCTCGGACGGGGTCACCGGGCCGGACGGGGGCGGCGCGGGGCTCGGCGCGGGGGCGGCTGCAGACGAGGGTGGCGTCGGGGACTTCTTGTCGATGCAACCGGTCCCCGAGGAGGGCGCCTTCTGCTACGTGGTGGTGGACGGCGTGGTCCCGGTGGACTTCAAGTGCTGAGCCGGTGCGGGGCGGTGCGGGGCGGTGCCGGGCAAGCACGCCGTCAACACTCCGTTTGTCCAGGGCAAACGGGCACCGCGCACCGCGAGCGGATTTTCCGCGGCTGTCCGATCGTGTCTCCTCGTGTTTGCGTTGACCGGGGCGTCGTCTGCTTTCCAATCGGCATTCCGGCCAGGACATTGAAAATAAATAGAGTGGTAGTTCCCCCACTGCTTGTCCTCGTCCAGGGAACGGCCGCCTGCGGCGCCAGCAAGCGGTCGGCCTCGGCCCCGGGGAGGACCCAGGCAAGGCCAGCAAGTTAAACTAAGTCGCCGACCCGAACTGAACAATGTCCCGCCAGAGCTGCGCGAGGGGCCCGGGCCCGGCCGGAGCCCTAAGTCGGCCCACAGTGTCATCTCCAACACCCCACCGGCTTAGGCCCGGCCCACGCCCTGCCCACGGCCCGCCCACGGCCCGGCCGCCAACTTTTCACGTGCGTGCTGCCTGGCTGCTTTGGCCGGGCCGTTCCCGACAAGTGCAAGTAGTGGCGCGGCGGAGAAGTAAGTCGGAAAGTGGAAGAGGCGGGAAAAAGGCGGGGAAAAGGCGCGCTCTACCTCGCGTCCCGCTCCGCTCCATTTCATCTTCATCACGCTGAAAGTCTGCAAGTCGCACGGCCACCTGGCTGGCGGTGCTGGCGCGCAATACGGCGGCCTGCTGGAGTAGACCGCCCAGCCGCACGCCGCATGTGTCTCGTCCCGAGGCAGAGGCAGACGACACAAGGCAGCACCAAACAGCGCTGTGTAAACGCCGTCCGCGCGTCCCCGGCCGTCTCGGGACCGAATGCAGGCACTGGCTGGGCGGGGCCGGGACGGGCGCGGCGGTCCACAAAGGCAGGCCGGATCCACACGACGACGCACGACGCGCGAGGCGCCCCGCAGCAGCAGCGCGCTCCGTCTCTCTCGCACTCACGGCGCGGCCCGCAGGGGTGCGAGAGGGACGGAGCGAGCCCTGCTGGCCTACCCCAAGCCCCAAGCGCGCGTCGGCGGTGGTCGTCGGCAACCTTTGAGGCGGCCCGGTCCCACGCGGCGTGCCGCCGCCGGGGACACAACACAAAAACAACAACAACAAGAAAAGCTGCGCAAATGGAGATTGCACATCGCCGACGACGAGGAAGGTAACCTACTTTTGTTTTTCCGGTCGAGTGGGATGGGCTGCTGGTCCTCGCGCTTCCATCGTATCCGCGGCTCCGGGAAGCCGTCGGCCCGGCAGGTCAGCGAGATGTTCTGGTTCTCGCGGACCGCCACGGCGGACGGCGTGCTGGCGTCGTCCAGGATGTTGGGCGGCACTGCGGGCAAAACACACACACACATACTCAGAATCAGGACTCGAACCGAGCGTGTGACCCCACCAATGGACTGCTCTCCGAACGAGGAATCCATTGGTGGGGTCACACGTTCGATTCGAGTCCTGTTTAGCGACTCTGGAGCTCAAAACGCGTCCCGAATTTCGGCCGCCTCCGCCGGTCTTCTGGCCCACTGTGGGGCGTACGGTAACGCGCCGTGCCACGGCGTGCCACGCCCGGCTATGGCGCTATGGCTGTATGGCGGCCGGTATGGCGCATGAAGGCGTGACGAGCTTCCGCAAGCGGCGTCCCCGCCCGGCTCGGCACGGCTCGGCTGGCTCGGCTGGGCCTCACCCCGCGGCCCTGCTCCGCTCGCACCGCCACCATTGTCTCCCCTGGCAAAAGTCGGCCGTGCAAGGGTTAGGGCGCGTAGCGCGTAGCGCCGCGTAGCGCGCACTCGTTGTAATGTGTGCCAGCGTCGTCGCACGCCGCGCCGAGCCGAGCCGAGCCGAGCCGAGCCGAGCCGGGCCGAGCCGAGCCGAGCCGAGCCGAGCCGCAAGGTGCATCCCCTTCATAAGCCACCTGCGCTGTGCGCCGGGCAATTCGCAGTTAGGCAATTCGCATGCCGTAGAAACGAGTCAACTTCCATTAAACGTCCCGTCTAACTGGCGCGCCGAACAGCGCAGCAGCAACAACAACAACTGCATCTGCCTCACGGCGGTGCTGGTGCTGCAGGTGCCAACCCCTCCAGCGAGGAGGTCGCACCTGCGGACCGCGCCAGCGTCGGACTAATTAAAACGAATGAAAAAAGAGGAAGAAGAAGAAGGAGGAAAAAGTACTTTCCAGAATTTGGAAGCTGGGTGGACTCACCGACGACTTGCAGGTAGCCGACCTGGTTGATCATGGGGTTGGTGTTGACCTGGCACATGTAGTAGCCGCGGTCCTCCTGCTGCACCTGGTTGACGTGCAGCCGCCACGTCTTCTGGTTGTCGTGCGACACGCTGAAGCGGCTGATGCGCGCGATCACGTGCCGGTGGATGGTGAGGATCATCTGGCGGTCGATGTGGATCCACGCCACCTGCAATCAGGGAGCGCAGCGAGCCGTCAGCGGGTTAAGCGAGCACCATGACGGAGTGCCTGCGATCCGTTATGCGGGGTCCCGATGAACTGTCGCCGCTGTCTCGGGGGGTAAAAATATTCCCCCCTCGAGTTTGTTTTGGCGCTGCTGATCCGTGACTTGGGCGACATGTTTCCGCCACGGCGCGGCGCGCATCCCCGAAGAGCGCTCGTGCATGGCGCGCGGCCGTACAGTGGGCCAGAAGACCGGTGGCGGCGGCCAAAACTCTAGACGCGTTTTGAGCTCCAGAGTCGCTAAATGGGACTCGAAGCGAACGTGTGACCCCACCAATGGATTGGTCTCCGAAAGACGAATCCATTGGTGGGGTCACACGTTCGGTTCGAGTCCCATTAAGCGACTTTGGAGCTCAAAACGCGTCTAGAATATTTGCCGCCTCCACCGGTCTTCTGGCCCACTGTACGGCCGGGGCGTGTGTCAACATTGTGCATTGGCTGGTGAAATTCACAATTTGGCTTCCATCAGAATCGAATCCGGCCCGAGCCAAGCGGAGCCAAGGGACTGCGGCCCGCGCGGTTCGCTTGGCTCGCGCGTGCGTACCAGAGAGAGAGACACAGAGAGAGAGAGAGAGAGAGAGAGAGAGAGAGAGAGAGAGAGAGAGAGAGAGAGAGAGGAGAGAGAGAGAGAGAGAGACACGTGGTCGCATGGTGAGCCCCACGGAATGCGCGCGCGGTTTTGGCGTTTTCTTGTTTTCGCTTCCCGGTTGGCAACATTGGCCGATCGGATTGGCGCGTACCGCAGCGCGGGGCGCGCGGACAGGCCGGGCAACACGACGACAAACACGACAATGTCATGCGGCTCGCTCTGCAGCGTCTGCAACGCGCGGCACGCCCTGACGGGGCGCCGCGGCTCTTTCGCCGAACCGGCAGACAAGTTTCCTCGCGTTCCCTCGCACACCGAACAACAAGCAACTGCAACGCTTTTTATTTCATTCTATCGGGAGAGCAGCCCTTTGGTCTTTTATAGTGTGCACACGTAGCGGCGCGTAGCGGGCGGCTCCTCGGCGCCTCTCCCACGGCGCTCGGAAAACCTCGCGAAAGCCGACCTCTTCCAAGGCCGTCGCGCATTAATTCAGACCTCCTTTTTTTGCGGTGTATGACCCGCCCAGGAAATTGTCGCTCGTGCGTTCGGTGTTGAGAGTGCTCGCGGCACAGTGGGCCAGAAGACCGGTGAAGGCGGCCGAAACCCAGGGCGCGTTTAGAGCTCCAGAGTCGCTAAAAGGGACTCGAACCGAGCGCGTGACCCCACCAATGGATTCCTCGTTCGGAGAGCAATCCATTGGTGGGGTCACACGTTCCTTTCGAGTCCTGTTTAGCGACTCTGGAGCTCAAAACGCGTCTCGAGTTTCGGCCGCCCACCGTGCGCGGGCGTGGTTGAGTTTGCCCACTCCACGCACGCGGCGCGCGTTGCGGGGCTTAGCGCGCTGCCGTGGCCCACGCTCCGCCACCGGACGGCCGGGGCCGAGGCCGGGGCGCCCTCAAGTGCCCCAAGTACCCGGAGAAGCGCACCACGGCATCACGAATAGCCTCATAAGCACGGCACTGCCAGGGCGGCCAGGGCGTCCAGGGCACTGCGGAGTCGTAGTACGTGTCTTCAATACCCGACGCGGCCCGTCCCGCCCCGGGCATGCCTTATTAAAAAAAAACTTCCGCCATAACGGGCAAGTTTTAATCACGTATAAATGAATCGTAAAGAAGTTGCCAAGTGGCTGGCCGGGGCGGTGGCGGCGGTGGCGGCCACTGCAAGCCTTTCCCAACGCACCGTGCGGAATCGACTTTCGAAAAAATGAAAATTCCAAGTCAATCGCGGGGAAAAAAATGTTTTTTTTTTCTCGCCGGTCTTGAAGGAAAGCCGCGGTGATGTAGTGTGGGAAGGGCTTGAAGGGCGCGGCCTGGCGGAGGGCTCCGCGGCCCGGCCCACCACATGTCGCTGTCCCCGTCGCTCCCGCGGCACGGCCAGGCACGGCGTGAGTCCGGCACACAGCCCAGGGCCAGGCACGGCCAGGCACGGCCAGGCACGGCCAGGCGGAGGGCCCCGTTTACATAGAGAACCTAATCTGCTCTCCGGGGCCACGGGGCCATACACGTCTGGAGGCAGGCACCCGCCAGGCGGGCAGGCAGGCGGGACTGCGAGCAGTGGGACGAGTGGCCTAATCAGGTGGGGGAGCGTTTCGAGGGCCGCACCGCGCAGGACGATTCCGAATCCTGCTTCCGTCGCTCTGTCTCTCTCGCACCCACGGGGTGCCCCGCACGGGTGCGAGAGAGACAGAGCGACGAAAGCGACTCTCGGAATCAGTCTGCAGGCCGCACGGCCGCACGGCCGCACCACGCAGCGGCAGGACTATACGGAGATCGGGAATATTTCCGCGTACTCCGCCCAATACACGACTTTCCCTCTCTTGTTTTCCGAACAAAGGCTGCCGAGCGCCACCGGCGCTGGGCCGCGCGTGGGAGAGAGAGAGAGAGAGAGAGACAGAGAGAGAGAGACAGAGAGAGAGAGACAGAGAGAGAGAGACAGAGAGAGACAGACGGAGAGGGACCGCGCAGGCTAATCGGACTCAAGCCAAACCGCCCGCGGCGCCGCGGACAGTTTCTCATACGCAGAGTGGAGGGCTCCCCGTGCCGCCGTGGTTCGGATTTGCGTTCCAGTCGTTTTCCTCGCCTGGATTCCGCGGCAAAAGAGAGACGGGCGGTGAAGCGCAAGGTGGCAGGTTCGACACCGGCTAGTGTCCCCCTTTTTTTTTTGCTTGGTTGGTTTGCGGTGCACTTTAAAGGTGGCAGCGTCGTTTTTGACACGCGGGCCTCCGGCGAGCGATCGAGCGGCTTACAGTGGAGTCTCGCTTCGCTACGGTGTGGCGGCCATGCTGCTGCGGCAGTCCTGCTGGCAGTCCTGCTGCGGTGGCGGCTGCGGCAAAGGTTCCTGCTTGCGGCGTGCCGAGCGGTGCCGAGCGGTGCCGAGCGCCGGGGATGCAGCTAACGACCTCTGTGGCTTAGTGGGGGCCTAGCGGCGGGGCGGGGGGGGGGGCGGGGGGGGGGGCGGGGCGAGGCGGGGGGGCCACACAGAGTAAGTTGAGCCCGGGGCGCGGTGG